GTGGGGTGATGGCGCGTCATCGATCAGCAGCTCAGATTTGCATAGCGAGACTCCGCCCCTCGCGGTCTCCAAGCGCTAGCAGAAAGTAGCCGCCAAGCCCTCGACCCAGCCTTCCTCTGGTTTAAAGGAGCCGCTACTTTCCCCGTTGGATCAGCTCCAGGAGCAACTTCGTCGAGAGTCTGGGAATAGAAGGGTTAACACACTGCTGCTCGGCGCTGCCTACTACAACCGCCTTTACGCGGTGAGCACATTACGTCATCTTTCTAGTCCCCCCCCCCATCCTAGCCCTGGGTAGAATCATAGTACCCCAACACTCAGGGATATACCGTCACACTTTATTCCACCCAAGACTCGACAAGGTCTTGAATCGCTTGAGTGCTGTCAACATCTTAAAACTAACCCTCAGTCTTGAGAACCTCATAATCATTCAAGGCCTTTAAACAAGGTCATTAGCCCAAGCTCTGGAGGTGGGACTCTTGAGGATTCTGAAGCATCCCACTCTAGCAGTTACCTCACTGTGTCATCTTACAGTTGGTCATATAATACACAAAGGCGCAAACTTCCAAGAATTTATCCCGAGGAATCAAAGATTAGTATTCAAAGAAATGCTGAGTAAATACATATACCTAAAGACTTTCATCACAGAGTTCTCTGTAACTAGGGAAAACCAAGTCCAGGAAGGCACTATATAAATAAATTACCTCCACACTGTGAATTATCATGGCATCCTTAGAAAATTATGGAATGCACGTTAGAAAAAAAAACATGTGTGTATTTATTGACAGGAAAAAGGCTTTCATGGCATACATAGGAAAAATCTTCCTGTGAGTCTGAAGCAGCTGTTTTAGGGGCCAGCTAAAGAACATACAGGTTGTATGGAGAAACTTGTGGATCCATTAATCCACCTTGTGTGCCTGGGCTGGTTAGGCAACTGTCACTAAGCCTCAGTTTTGTCATCTCCAAAATAGCACAGGAACAACCTTGTAATTTTCACATTTATTTAATTTCTGTAGCAATCAAACAGCTTTTACCTTGTAGGTATAAGAGTTGCGGCACTGAGGGGAAAGGTTTCCCCAGTGCAAGTGTTGCAGCTCTGAGGGGAAAGGTAACAAACCTCACCCAAGAGATTTATTGGGAAAGATACAAAAGTATGGTAGCAAAGAACTGAGCAGGAGGTAGGTTTTTATATAGGGTTTCTTGGCAGGGGTGGGGGTGTGGGGTGTGGATGGAGGTTTCCTGGTGGGATTCTGTGGCCCCATCTTGGGTTGCTGCTGCTGCTGCTTTTTTTCTCTTTCTTTCTTTCTTTCTTTCTTTCTTTCTTTCTTTCTTTCTTTCTTTTTTTTTTTGTAGGGCAGAGTTTGGCCACCTGTGTCTTAAGGGATTGAAAACTGCCTTTAGGGCCCTTAGAGTAGTCTAGGGGTGGGGGTGGGAGACACAACTTGGCCACTTGAGGGCCTCCAGGGGCTTACACTAAGCACACTCAGTGTGTGTGTGTGTGTGTGTGTGTGTGTGTGTGTGTGTGTGTGTGTGTGTAATAAAAGCACTGAACATAAAAGTAACAGGAAATGGTACAAGTGACCAAGAAAATGAGGTGTGATGAGACTAACAAGGGGCCTGACTTGTGATGTCAAGACTCTAGCTTGGCACCAGCAAGGTGGTTCAGTGGATAGAGGTGCTTGCCACAAAGCAAGCACCCAAGTTCAAACCCTGGGACTCACAAAGTAGAGGGAACCAATTTCCATAACTTCTCTGTCCTTTACATGTGTGCTTAGTCAACTAGCCTGAAAATGCATAAATGAAGGCTCAGTAGAAATGGTTGGGGGCTAGAGAGATGGCTCAGCAGTTAAGAGCACTGACTACTCTTCCAAAAGTCCTGAGTTCAATTCCCAGCACCCACATACTGGCTAACAACCATCTGCAATGAGATCTGGTGTCCTCTTCTGCACTGCAGGCATACATGCAAGTAGAACAGTATATACATAATAATAAATACATCTTTTAAAAAAAGAAAAATAGTTCGTGACACATACCTTTTCTTTTGAGACAAGGTTTTATGTTGTCCTTGCTAGCTAGCCTTGAACTAGGTTTGTAGGCTTTTTTTTTTTCCTTAAAGATTTTTTTTTTAAGCTGGGCAGTGGTAATGCAGGTCTTTAATCCAGGTTTTATGTTGTCCTTGCTAGCTAGCCTTGAACTAGGTTTGTAGGCTTCTTTTTTTTCCTTAAAGATTTTTTTTTAAGCTGGGCAGTGGTAATGCAGGTCTTTAATCTTAGCACTCTGGAGGCAGAAGTGGGCAGATCTCTGTTCCAGGCCAGTCTGGTCTACAGAGTTAGTTGCAGGACAGCCAGGGCTACACAGAGAAACTGTGCCTTGAAAAACCATAAACAAATAAAATGTAACAAGATGGTAACTGCTCTGGGCCCAAACCTCAGCAAAACCCTGACATCTTCTAGCCTTGCCCACATAACTAAATGTCTCTTCCAGCTGGCTCCCACTAAGAGGCCAGCCCATTCCACTGCATAAGCCACTCCCTAGGACCTAGGTTGTTCATTTGAAGTGGCCAGACTGATACATCAAGATATCTACTGTGGGTTGGGTAGCTGCTGTGTGTCACTGAACTATTTCCCATGGACTTCCTCTAAGAGCTCTTCTTTCAGGCGTCCTCTATCATCTTTCAGATATCAGTACCGCTAAGAAGCTTTCTGACTGGATGAATCAAGAGTTTGGCTGGAATGAGCTAAAACAATGGTAATGATGGTTAAAGGTAGTGGTAGAGCAGATTTAAGTCTAGAGGGTTTGACTGTCCAAGAAGAAAAGAGCAGAAAAGGGAAGCTAGACCAAAATACCTATTGCTTTAAAGAATAGGTAAGGGAAGACACTAGAAGAACCAGAGCCAACTCTGACTCAGAAGAATAACCCAGAATCCTCCCCAAAGCCCTCAACATCTATCTGGACAAAGACTAGGGAGGGCAGAGGGAAATGGAGGACTGAGGGAGGGAAGGAGAGACATCTAGCAATGGCTTGTCAACCCTAGAGACATATAACAATGGCTGGAGACATTTTTACCTACCTGTGGGACTACTACTGGCATCTAGTAGGTGGGGTCAGGGATATTGCTAAATATCCACACCACTCAGGATAGCCTTCTCACACAACAGTAAAGTGGTCCAAAATGTGAATGGCGCCACTGTTGAGATACCTTGCCTTAAGGGATAATTAAGGGGCTCCCAGAGTCTCCAGGAGTGCCAAGGACTGGACTTAGAAGACTGGAACATCCAAGACCACACTGTCACTGTTGCCAACATGAGCACCCCTAGCAAGGGCCACTGGTCAGGCCATTAGAAAATATACACATTTGTTACCTAGGCCACTGCTGCTACTTAAACACACAATTGGTAGAGCTTCAGTCACATAATTGAATCCCAGCTGCTGGGTGAGCCAGAGAAGCAAGTACCCTCCCTCAAGTGATTTGTGTTTTTGTATTCTAAACCCACCCACCCAACCACCACCAGGCATGGTGATGCACGCCTTTAATCCCAGCACTCAGGAGACAGAGGCATATGGATCTCAGTGAGTTTGAAGTCAGCCTGATCTACAAAGTGAGTTCCAGGACATCGAGAGCTACATAGTGAGACCCTGTCTCAAAGAAACAAAAATAAACAAAAAGAAAGACAGGTCTACAGCCAAGCTGTCCTGGTTCTTTAGAAGTTCTTCCTTCAGTTAAGGGAGGAAGCATTTTCCTTGCAAAGCCAGCAACTACAATCTCTCTCAAAGATGAAGGGAACAGGGAGGACCCTAGTGGCTGGCTCTGGCCCCTAGTCCCTCAAACTCTAGCACAGGTTCAACAGATGATGGGTAGATCTCATCCTTTTCATAGGCCAGTAAATCACAAGCTCTAGTATTGTCATCTCATATAAACCTCACAGGAATTGGCTAGGTCATACAGCTGGAAAGGGACAGGGCTGGGAATGCAGCCCAGGTCTCTAGAGCCAGCTGTGTTATCTACCTCTTCTGCCCCACAGGGGAAACAAGCATTTCTGATGGGAAAACTTCTCCAGTCCTTGTCCCAAATACTTTTCATCCCCCTTACTTTTCCTGAATGAGTTTTGGGGTGCAGGCTACTCTGGGCTCTTCCATGAAGCCTCCCCAACACCTGGCTTCCCTTTGCTATCCTGGCCAGTAGAAAGGCCAGCCTCCAAGGAAGTAATTTAGAGCTTGGCAGAAGATTCAGGCATCATCAAATTTATTTTACCAATGAAGGCACAGCACAGGGAAGGGAGAGAATAGGCCAGGGTCAGTTGGGCTAAGACTCAGGTCTCACGAGCACTGTCAATAAGAGGAAACGTGTACTTGAAGGTAGATACCTGGGGAAGATACCGGGATGGTAGGTGTCTCCATGCCTTTAAGAGATACATTTTGGTTTGGCTAGACCAAAGAGGTAGAGCTGTAATTTCAGCAGAGCCAAGGCAGCCACCTGCCTTGGGATTCATAGAAACCAGGGTGCCCTCTGAGGGCTTAACTCCTTCCACAGCTTTCTGCCCTGTGGCCACGGGACTCTGCTTGAACCCTGAACTGGGAAGCTCACTGATCAATCCAGTTTACAATAGTCCCATTACAAAGCACAGCCTCCTGTAACCTGTCCCACACAGCCTCTCCCCACACACAGGCTGTATCTTTTAGCAGTAGAGACAACAAGTTGATTGTCTCATGAACCAACTCAATGATTGTCCCCAGTTATCTGAGAATAGAGATCATGTTCTTTTAAGGTCTCCTTGAAATAAACACCCTCCCAGGACACTTCTGGGTCCCCTTTCTAAACTGATCCCTCACAAAGGGCAGCAGTGAGTGAAGAAGAGGCCTGAACCTGGCTCTTGCTTCTTTGCAGTGCACAGGCCTGGGGCTCCCTCCTGATGAGGCAGAAGCATACTCCAGCTGGTCCTGACATCTCTAGAAACTACTAGTGCCTTTACAGCCTCCTCCTCAGCCTTCGTGAGGCCAATGGATTTGCTAGCTTTTACTGTTGCTCTGCACATAGCTGGAATGGTGATAGGCAGCCCAGGAATAGAGTTAGGCCAGCTGCAAGCATGGCACCTTCACCTGTAAGTCAGAGCTAGGTTCTGCTGCTTCCTCACAAAGGGCAGCAGCCAGCCTGCAGCCCTCACTCACCAAGAGGATCCAGACCAGGAGCCTCTTCAACCAGCCTCCCCCAACAGATTCCCTAAAGGCCCTATCTACAGAACAGTGTCCTCTCAAGGCTCCCTTGGTGTGCCCTAAGATCCCAGAGGCTCAGTCTTTTCTGCCAAGGCTCAGACCCAGCAAACACAGAGTCCCCATCTGGAAGTGGATGGTGCTCACCATGGTGCTTGGTGCTGCTACACCACAGCCACACAGTTGTGCCTCTTCTGACTGTCCTCTTGCTGATCTCTTAGGCCCCAAACTGCTCCAGGGCTACAACTCAGACTGGGATCTTGAGATTCTTGGGCCTTTCCGGATCTCTTTCCGTCTCTCCTCCTTCTTCCGACGTTTTTCTTCTTCCCTCAAGGCCTTCTGGAAAGGGTCAGTGCTAGGAATGAACTGTGAGATGAGCAGACTAGATTTAGTCTAGAGCAGCAAAGTTTCCTCTGAGCTAAATCAGAATGTAAGACAGGAAGGTTCCTGGAGAAGGCCATACCCTCAGGGAGTCCCAGACAAGGAATCAGATGAAAGGGCTCAGGGAAACCGCTGACTAGATCTTGAGATAATCAGGAGCTTGACAGGCAGACAGGGAGGCAGGAGATTCCCAGGCATGGGAGACAAATGCCAGCTGAGGTGTGAACTGGAAAACAAATACTCTCTTCGAGGAAGAGGGAGCAGGGTGGTTCTTGGAATACCTTCCTGACACCCTTCAGGAGGGAAGCAAGCTAGGAGTCCTAGACAACAGGTGCTGCCACTAGTGAATGAGGAACAGTCCCCAGGAAAGGAGCATACAGAGGCAAAGTGGATCAGAAGTGAAAGAGATGGGAATGCCAGACAGGCAGAGATGGGAGAGGACAGGGTTTGAGGACAACTTCAAGGTCAAGACTCTTCGCACTCCATCCTTTCCAGAAGCTAGCCCATAGCTTCTGTTGTTCTCTGTGGATAATTAACTATCAAACCTGAGTTGCTGTGTCTATTTCTTTGTGGAACTGACGGATGGTTTCCATGACTACACTCCTGCAGGCCTTTGCACATGCTGTGGCCTAGGCCCAGAATGACCTTTCCAGCTCTGTCTGCTTTGTCTCATTTGTTCCAACTCTGCTACCACTGCCCTTGGGACCTCTTCCATGGTTGCCTCCTCCCTGGCATCTGCCTCCTCACTGGCACCTTCTCTTCAACTTTGTGCTAACTTATTCTTGTGTCTCTCCTTTGTGGTCACCCTCTTTGTGCTTGTCATCTACAACAGCATGTTTTATGAAGACAGAATGTTGGTACTGGATGTGGTGTTCCACTATGTCCCAAGCACAGAGGCCCACAACAGCATTCAGTGTACATTTTTAACAAAATGAATGAATGAAAGGACTCATTAGAATATATAACACAAAAACATACAAAACTCAGGTTGTGAAATATGTCCCTTTTGTATATTCTTAAGGCAAAACTGACAAGAGTGAGCTAGGTAGCTGTTAAAAAACAAACTAAGAGTGCCACCTTGTGGCATAACATACCTGCCACATAAGTAGTCCCTGCCTCTGGGAAAAGGAGGATGTCCCAAGAGTGGTCCAGAGACAGGAATGATGTGTTCAGGTTGTTTGGCTAGTGGAATGCCCAACTAATGAGGACTAATCCAACCAGGCAGCCCAATCACCTCCCAGATAGCTGCCATTCTTGTCTCCTAAGAGTCTCTCACTGAGAGGTCCATACTGAATACATAAAAGTGGACAGTTTGGGGACCATTTGTATATTATGTGTAAAGCCCTCGGTTTAAGCCCCAGTCTGGGGAGTTGAGGGATGGAGCTATCAGGATCATTCCCAGCCAATGAAAAGGAAATTGTGTTGCTCCTATGGTCATATCTAAGAACATATTATGATAATGTTACACTAAATTTAACCTGGAAGTTATGTGTTTCAGCCTCCTGTGTGACAGAAGCATATATGATTGCAGGGTGAGAAGAGCCTACTTGCAGAAATTAAGCATCTCCCTAGGTTCCCCTTTGTGGCAAAAAGACTCTCTCCAAGGCCCTGAGCACCTCTGCATGCACTGACTGGGAACACATAGAATCAAGGTCTTGCCCAGGGTTGCTTGCTATGATCAGGATTAGGATGAGAGCAAGCAACCTGGAGGGGTATACCACTGGGAAGAAGTGACAGCTACTGTGATAGGGAAAACCATATCCTCTACCCTTACTGCATAGAGTAGACACTGGCTCAACAGGAATCTCAGAGGTTCTGCTAGATATAAATAGTCAGGCATGGTCCACTGTGGTTCCACTAAGTTAAAAACTAAGGTGATGAACAGAAATTAGTAAATGTTGCTGGTGTGGCAATGAGTGATGACATATGCCTGTAATCCCAGAACTTGGGAGGCAAATGCAAGCAGATCAGGAATTGAGGCTAGCCTGGGCTTCATGAAACACTGTCTCAAAACAAATAAGGAAATAACAGAGAAACCCCAAGAAGGGAGTTGCAGGTCTAGTTGCTATCTTTTAAAGGCCTGTGTCTCAAGTTGGCCCTTGACTGGCAGCTGAAAACCACAGTCTTAATCAGTAAGAGTGTATCACTGTTCTCAAACTGTGAAATCTATATGGTTTGATAAGGTTCCTTCCAGCAGCTTTAAGTTTGGGTACTAGTTAGATACAGAGTACTCATATAACCAACTCTCAGTAAAAACCAGGACAGTAGGTCTCTAGTGAGTTGACAAAGGAAGCTCACACATATTACAACTTGTTGCTGGGGGAATTAAATACATCTGTGACCACTGGGAGAGAATGCTGAAAGCTGGCTTCTCTGCATTTTGTCCCAAGTGTCAAGGCTGGTGTCAAATTCCAGTGCTCAAGTGATCGACCTAGTCAACCTTCCAAATAGCTGGGGTCACATGTGTGTCACCACAATTGGCCAACAGATCTCTATAACCTGGGATCACATGTGTGCTGCCATTACAATGGGCCAACAGGTCTCTATAACCTGGGGTTATGTGTGCTGCCATTACAATTGGCCAACAGATCTCTATAACCGGGGGTCATGTGTGCTGCCATTACAATTGGCCAACAGATCTCTATAACCTGGGATCATGTGTGCTGCCATTACAATTGGCCAACAGGTCTCTATAACCTGGGATCATGGGTGCTGCCATTACAATGGGCCAACAGGTCTCTATACCCTGGGGTTATGTGTGCTGCCATTACAATTGGCCAACAGGTCTCTATAACCTGGGATCATGGGTGCTGCCATTACAATGGGCCAACAGGTCTCTATACCCTGGGGTTATGTGTGCTGCCATTACAATTGGCCAACAGGTCTCTATAACCTGGGATCATGTGTGCTGCCATTACAATGGGCCAACAGGTCTCTATGACCTGGGGTCATGTGTGCTGCCATTACAATTGGTCACAGGTCTCTATAACCTGGGATCATTCGTGCTGCCATTACAATGGACCAACAGGTCTCTATAACCTTGTAAGAACTCCTCTGTCCCAATCACATCTGAACCTTCTGAAAGGTGTAGGTGAAAGAGGAGGTAACTAGAGAAAAGAAAAATTATAGGTATCAGGATGAGACACATGAATAATTCAGCAATGATTAAGCACCTGGGAATGGCTTGAGACTCTAGAAAGCACAGAGAATGATACAGTGGCAGGTGCCACTAATCGTCACTGGGTGTGTAATTCCTATCCACATGATGGGAACACTCACATTGACACAGTCAATACTGTGAACTAGTCTGTGTCCCACACCATCAAAGGTCTCCTCAGAGTACATATGCACACACAAAGGATGGCACAACCTTATTTACTCTCACAGATAAACTACCCCCCCCCCCAGCCTCTGCCCAGATAGGGCTTTTCTGTGAAACCCTGGCTGTTCTGGTACTCATTCTGGAGGTCAGGCTGGCTTTGAACTCAGAGATTCACCTGCCTCTGCCTCCTGAGTACTGAGATTAAAGGTGTGTGCCAACACTGCTTGGCCTTTCTTTTATTCCTAATGCATGAGAAGCTTGGATTATACCACACTTGCAACTGAGGGTAAAATTCTGCAGTTAAATACCCTCAATGTACTAAAAGCCAAACAATGAACTGAAGACTTAAAGTGTTAAGTGGGAGAGAAAGGGCCACGGGAATGTCTATCCATAGTGGATGACTGTTGCTTTGTGCCCATCTATTGCATCCTATAATTACTAACAAATACATTCAATGAGATTGGCAAGTAAAAATCCAAATTTTAGGTGGATGTAACAGATAATACATTGATAGTTCAAAATGAGACACACTAGTTCCCCAAGACTTAAGTCTTGGTTGAGTCAGGGACCCTGGAGAACATGGTAACTACAGTTAGTTCTGCAGGATGGCCTTACCCCTGTACTCAGAATAGCCAGGTGTGGTGGCTCATGCCTGTAATCTCAGCACTTGGAAGGATGGCCAAGGCAGGAAAGTTTAAGGTCAACTGGAGTTAGAGAGTAAGACTCTCAAAAATCAAATCAACAATCAAAAAACCAATACATCTGACTGCAGCCTCAATAAATGACATGAAACAAACTGAATGGATTTGGTCATTGCCTCTCAGTGAGATTAATCTCAGGCAGCAGGCTATGGAACAAACAATTTGCAATGGCGCTAGGCACCTTTCTTGCTGAGCACACTAATAATGCAAAATCTGGTAAGTTCTCTTGTTTGATTAACTTTATTTTTGTTTTGTTTTAAGGCATTTTTAGTCCAGACTGGCTATATTCACTATATAGCCAAGGTGGTCTCTTGCTCCAGCCTCCTGAGTGCTTGGGGTTACAGGTAAGTACCACCACACCTCCCTTCTAGCAACTTTACCCAGACCATTTTTCAGGACTATTTTTGCAAAGAGACTAATCTTGGAAGGATGAGGTATCTTTCCCTGGACAAAGCATAGACCCATTTAATTCACTATGAAGAAAGATGGCAAACTTTCCAAGTACAGTGGTCTGCAAGAATAATGCAAACCCACTGCATGCACAGCATCTGCCTGGCCTTCTATGTAAAGACCTGGAAGAACAAGGGCACCCAAGAGGATGAGCCCAGAAGTCTAGTTACTGCTTTTGCTGCATTGAAGAATGTCTGTGACCTGCTGGCATCTATAAACAGTAGCAGGCTACTTTGTCAGCCTGCAAGCAGGTACAACCTTAGACCCATCAGACTCAACACCCCTCGCTACACAGTTCAGTCCTAGTGTTTTCTGGGCAAAGGAGAGGCCCTTTGAGGCTGGCCCTGCCCTGCTCCCTCTGATCCCTTCTCCCTGTATGTGTCACCATCTGTCTTCTCAAACTGCAGCTGTTAGCCCCAGAGCCAATTTTAGAGCCCTAGATTAAAGGAGTGTGTAGGAGTGAGAACAGAAGCCCCAGTGTACCAGTAGCAGAGGCTCAGAGCAGGGAAGAACATGATTTGACCTCACCTGGTCACCCTGACACTCACAACTTGGGTTCATATTGTGCAATGAGATAAAGATGCTCACAGCTCAGGAATCACCCCAATCTCCATTCACCCCCAGCTATGGTACCCATTCAGGAAAGAACAATGATTTGTCAGAGCCTTCAGTAACTTGAGTAATGGTTTTTGGACCAGTATTAATTGGATTGTTTGGTTCCAAGTTCAAAGCTCTCACAGTCCACCCTAGATCTTGGCCCCTGCAGACCCAGCTCACCTCTGTCCGATCTATTTTAAATGGGTTCTGGAAGTCAGAGTCTTTCTCACTGATCCCCAGCTCCTGGGCCATCTGTGGATGAGAAAGCTAGTCATGTTCTTCTTCCTTCTGCTCCCCGATTTCCAGAGAGCCATTCCCACCAGGCAGGGACTTAAGCTTTAGACCCCAGACAGATGTGGGACAGAAACAATCCCTAGGGACCCTCAAGGATAACTGACAGGGCCAACCACAGACAGAATTAGGCTCCCAGCCCTCTTACCAGTCCTTACCAGGTTGAGGATGGGTGAGTGGGGCCCCTGGTCAAAGACACCTGTCTGATTGCAGAAGCTGATGCCCCACCGGATGAGGAGGTTCCAGTTGGAATTATGGTCAAAATAGTGGTGCACGATCTTTGGGAATCGCAGCACCACGTCACCAAAGAAGGCTGTGTTCTCCACCACGTGGGAGAAAGCTGGCAAGAGAATCTTGGTGAGTTATCAGGGTAGTTGCTCTTCTCTTGTCCACCCAGCTGGCCCCAGACCTCCTCCAGGAATGGAGAAATCTAAACCCACCAGTCAGAGAAGATTACACCCAATGATCACAGACTGCTCATTGCATGTGTAGTATGTACCAGGGCCTCACACCCCATTGATGGGCTTTAGAAGGGAAGACCACTGCTGCCCCTGTTTTACAGGCTGTGGGTTAGGTGTTTGTTTTGTTTGTTGATGGATTTTTTTTTTCAACCTGTCATAAGCTGGAGTCATCTGGGAGAGGGAACCCCAATCAGAGAATTGCTTCCCCAAGACTGGGCTGTTGGCATATCTGTGGGGCATTTTCTTTTTCTTTCTTTCTTTCTTTCTTTCTTTCTTTCTTTCTTTCTTCCTTCCTTCCTTCCTTCCTTCCTTCCTTCCTTCCCTTCGTTCTTCTTTTTTATTTTATTTTATTTTTGAGACAGGGTTTCTCTATGTAGCTTTGTAACCTGTCCTGGAACTCGCTCTATAGACTAGACTGGCCTCAAACTCACAGAGATCTACCTGCCTCTACCTCCTGAGTGCTGGGATTAAAGGTGAGTGCCACCAATGCCTGACTATTGTGGGGCATTTTCTTGATGGATGATTAACATGAGGGGACCCAGCCTACTGTGGGTAGTGTTATCCTCAGCTTATATAAGAGAGCAGGCTGAGCAAACCATGTGGAACAAGCCAGTAAGCAGCACTCCTCCATGGTCTCTGTGTCAGTTCCTGCTTTGGCTTCCCTCGATGGTGAACTATAATCTGTGAGCAAAAAGAAACCCTTTCCTTCCGAGTTGATTTCAGTCAAGGTGTTTATCACAGGAACAGGAACAAACCAGGACACAGTTAGAAGACTGAGGCTTAGTGACTAATGAGTGTCAAACCTAGGCTGCAGACCTGGGTATGTTTGGACCCTAGGTTGCAAACCTAGGGATGTGTTCAGACTTAAAGCTTGCTGCATTGGGCACTCACAGCAATGCATTGGGCAATACAAAACCAGGGCTCAGGAGTTCAAGGTCATCCTTGGCTACAGAGTCATGGGGTCAGCCTGGGCTACATAAAACCCTAGGTATTCCCTTTATTTTGAAAAAAGATTGGTTTACTTTGTGAACCACAGATGGTCATTGTTTTGTACAAAGATGCTCCAGCCATGCAGGCAAGTGTCTAGAGCTGTGACTTGGCATTAGCTGTCAATGAAGGGTCAGTTCTGTCAGGAGGGCCAGCAAGGTCAGAGTTGTATTGTGTGTGCGTGCGTGCGTGCGTGCGTGCGTGCGTGCGTGTGTTTTAAATACTCTTTCAATTTAATTTTATTTCTTTTTGCTCAGCAGGGTGTCCCTGAACTCTGATCCTGCCTCTACCCACCAAGTGCTGGGATTACAGGGGTGTGCATCTGATGGAGGATGTCCTTCTGTATGCTGTGAATATATGTTTCTTTTATTGGTTGATGAATAAAGCTGTTTCGGCCAATGGACAGGCAGAATTTAGCCAGGTGGGAAATCCAAATAGATAAAGGTAGAGTCAAAGAGACGCCATGTAGCTGCCCAGAAAGCAAGAGGTCCAGGCATCACTGGTAAGGCAAGACCACGTGGAGATACACAGGTTAATAGAAATGGGTTAATAATTAAGAGAGCTAGCCAATAAGAAGCTTGAGCCATCGACCAAACAGTTTATAATTAATGGAAGCCTCTATGTGTTTATTTGGGACTAAATGGCTGTGGGACTGGGTCAGCACACACCATTACTAAACTTAATTTTCTGTTAGGTGCTTTATAGTAGGAAATTACCAATACGGAATTAGGTAGAAATATAAGGGTATTTAATAGGGAAAAGCCTTACTTACAGAGCGAACCAGCCAGCCGGTGGTAGTCTGTACAGCAAGAAGCAAAGAGAAACCGAAACCGAAAACACAGTCCCCTTACTCACTCTGACCATGCCCTCATAAGCCCTCAGGTATTTCTGTAGCCAGCCCCTAAGAAGGCGTGGCTACAGCTTCCCCTACAGTGCTTACTCTCTTTCAGTAGTGGCCTTTGTGTGGCCAAAGGCTAACCTAAAACTCAGTACATAGCTCAGGTTGGCCTTGAATTCATGATCTTCATTCTAAAAGTTAGGGTTATAGGTGTACAACACCACTCCTGGCTTATTTTGAAATTTTCAGACTTATTTGCTACAACATAAAACTCCTTCACCCTGCTCTCTCTAATGCTATAGTCCTATGTCACTGTATCTAAACTGGGAAATTAACAGCAATACATTAACTTAGATAGAGCTATTTGACATTTGAATTTGGTCAGTTTCCCCACAATGTCTTTACTCTAATGAGATCAACAGATCAGTTTACACTGGGGTTAGAGTGTTCACTCTAGTGACAGGTAAGAATGAAGATTAGCCATATCTTCACTCCTAGGACAGAGAAGACCCACACAGCCCTGCCTAGCGCTGGGTGGGCATCACAGGGAGGCAAGCAGAAGCCAAAGATCTGCCAGGTTGGCATGTGGGCCATGGACCCATGGACTTCAGAGTAATTTCGACACCCAGAGAACTGAAGAATCAGTTTGGTTCAGAAAGAGGAGTAAAGGCAAATAACTTACTTGTTCTCTTCCAAATGGAAAGCAGAAGCAACTCACAAGCATGAGGGGTGACCCCTATAAAAGTCATCATTCACACACAAGCCACTCCCTCCTCTGGGTGATTCTAAGAACTATTATTGCTAAGCTGTGACTGGTTAGGCCAGACCTTTAATCCCAGCACTCAGGAGCCAGAGGCAGGCAGATTCTCAACACATTTGAAGCCAGCCTGGTCTACATATGAAGTTCTAGGATAGCCACGTTTACATAGTGAGAAAAACAAAACTGTGATCTGATTGTAGGTATGAGTGAGGAGGGACTACCACTAAAGAGAAGTTCTTGCAAGAGGGGACAAAGGGACATGAGACATCCCTTCATCTTACTTGTTTTCCTCACCTTGTCTGAAAAGAGAACTAAGGAGTTTGGGTTTTTTCACTATAGTAGCAAAGAGTGCTGGCAGTCACACTGACCCAGCTGTTTAACCAGCCTCAGTCATTTCTCCTTCTAACAGGAACAATTCCTATTTGCCTTCCTAAAGTGCATGGCAGACTCTGCCCTGGTCCTCAGCATGGTGGTAGGCAGAAACTCTTCTCTGGCTCCCATGGCCTAAGCACAGGGCAGCATAAAGGAGAGTGTACTAAGGACAGAGAAACTGGCTTCAGACCCCAGAGATATTTAGAGAACCATAGACTAGGCTCTTATCTACCCTAAGCCAACTACTCAGGTACCATATGAGGATATTCCCGGGGGACAAATGACAAGAACAGAGAAGGACCAGCTGGAGAGTACCAGGGTGGCAGGCAGCAAAGTGAAGTGTTGGAGAGACCATACCATCCTTCAGCTTCTCATCCTGGGGTAAGGGCCCATCTGGGAGCACATTGGCAGCAGTGAGCACTGTCCGGGAGTCCTCCAGCACCTGAAGGAACCCCATGTTGGCTAAGTGGCTTTGTGGAGACTTCACACCCTAGCTCCAGCCCCAGTTACCTGACTCCCACTCCAACTCCCTCATTGAACACTATCCCTTCAGACAACTCCTATTCATCCATCAGTGCACAAATTGGAGCCCTGTCCTGCTGTGAGCTTCCCTGCTCCATGACACACCTTAAAGAGTCCCTTAAGCATGACATCAAGGATCTTGTACTGCTGGTGGATGTCGTTCAGCTGCGCCAGGTTCTTCAGTGCCAACAACTGCTCCCGCCGCTTCACCTCAAACATCTTCTTGTCTGAGCACCATTAAGTTAAAGCACTAGCAGAAAAAACCCTACCTGGACAATCCAATGGCCCTGACTCAGAGGGCCCCTTCCTAACCTGTGCCACTAAAATCCTTAACAGAGATGGACTGTTATGAAATACACAGATCCTGTAATGTACCATTTATTCAGATCTCAGAGACTCCAAACCCAGAAAAGAGCTTAAACCCAACACTCCAAGATCTGGCATCTCTCCTCCCATTCCTGTGTCTTCCTGTCACCTCTCACAATCATTCATTGTTCCAGGACCTCCGGCAATCTGCTTAAACTATACCCTCAGCCTGAGATGCCCTCACCATTCTCCCGGAGTTTCTACCCTCAGGACCTTGCTCGGAAGGTCCATAGTACAGTGTTTCTCCCAAGACATCCTGTATCCACCAGGGCCTCCACCACACAGCACAAAGGCCTTTGGTCTGGATGTTGTGGTTTATATGAGAATGTCCCCATGTGGATGTTTGGTTCAGTTTGATAGACCCTTTAGGAAGGATTAGGAGTTGGAAGTGTGACCTTGTTAGAAGTGTGTCACTGGAGATGGGCTTTGAGGTTTCAAAAGCCCACACCTGGCCCAGTCTTTTTCTCTCTGCTTCCTGCCTATAGATCAGGATATAAGCTCTCAGGTACTGCTTCAGCACCATGACTACCTGTCTGCTGTCATGCTTCCCACCATGATGATCAAGCACTAACTCTCTGAAACTGTAAGCAAGCCCTCAATCAAATGCAGCCTTGGCCATGGTTTCTTCACAGCAACAGAACAGCAACTACACATGCTTTCTCCCTCTAGCTCTGTGGATGTCTCAAAACCAGGGATGGTCTTGTCTCATCCTTGTGTTGCCAAGGTATGGTTCAGGGGACCAATGTCAAGATAAACTAGTAATCCAAAGTTCCAGAGGACCTGCCTGAGGTCTTACCAGCCAGGCACTATACATGTACACTCCTTACCACACTTTTACAGATCTGAGAGATGGGCCTAAACTTCAGTTAACATACAGGAAATCAGCTCAGGAGAAAACTGACTTGCTCACAGTCTGACTAGAGCTTGTCTCCTCTCCCATTCTTAGCAACTCTATCTGCTTATCCCTGGAACTTCCCCCAAGGAGTTATGGGCACTCAGAGATCTCATTTATCAGCCCTTCAAGGACAGCTCATTCATCCCACCCAATCCCCAAAGAGATACAAATCTTGAGGCTTGGGTCCAGGGTTGTCTTTTGGGTGCCTGTGACTTCTGAGCCAGACAATAGTAGGACAAAGAAGGACACCAGGAACTGAAGAAGGTCCATATCTGAGACTGGAGCTGGAGGAGTAAAGCCAAAGAAGGTGAGTGAGCTCAGTGAAAAATCAACTTCCAGACATGACCCAACCTCCAAATACCCAAGAACCCAGCTTCGGGAAGCCCTGAAGATCTAGCCAGGGCTGGTGACAAGCATACACACAAAACAGGCCTATGGGATTGCAGAAGAAAGAGAGGAAGAGAGAGACCTTAGTAATGCTTAGTGGACAGGGATGGACTGAGGCTAGAGCTCTAGTTGGAGTCTTGACCACAGCTGCCTTTGTTACTGGGCAATTGTCCCAGCTCTCTAAACCATAGCTTTCTTACCTGTAAAACAGGGCTTAAGAGGTCTCTTTCCTGATGCAGAGAGACATGTCTGGATGATGTACTATGTGTGAAGGAAGGGCCTGGTCAACCGCCTTCCTCTCAATTCCCTATGCTAGCCTCCCTCCTAAGGGTATCAACCAGGAAGATCCAGACAGTGGAAAAAGTATGCAAAACTTGTGTGGATTCCCTCCTTCTACACCTTCTCCTGACATGTGAAAGAAAGAAGGGACACAGGGTGGGAAGGGAATCATGGCAGTCATCAGAGATACCACTCACTTGCCACATGCAACATCTGTTCCTTTTCCAACAGCCCACAATTATCAACTAAGTACAGTTCCAGGCAGTTCTAGAGCTGGGAACACAGACACAATAAGTATGGCAAACCAAACATCCCGTACTTCGTTCTTTGTGTGGGTAAGAGACAGACAATCAAGAAATATATATTTTTTAAGACAATACTAGGGAGATGATTTGGTTGATAAAGTTGGAAGCATGAGGACCTGAGTTTGATCCCCAGCATCTATGTACAAGCTGGGCACAGTACATGTTTGTGGTCCTAAAGCTGGAGACAGAACTATCCCTGGGAACTTGCTGGCCAACTAGTCTGGCTGAATCTAGGAGCTCCAGGTTCAGTGAAAGACCCTGTCTCAACAAATAGGATAGAGAAAGATATTTGATATTGACCTCTGTCTTCCACATGCACACACAGAGGTGTACACACATGAACACATACACAATTTAAAAAGAAAATGATGAGAGGAAGCTGATGAGACACAATAGGCAGAACTTGCTTAAGTTTGAGATTAATCTAGGCTACATGGTGAGATCTTGTCTAAATCTCCAAAATGGACAAAATGGGGGTAGAAGACGAAAGTCAAGGGAGGCCTCATACTCAGATACCCAGTTTTACTAATGTGGGAACTGAGGGACAAAAATAAACAAATGAATAAATGAAGTGGCTGTTCAGAGCCTCAGTTGTTCCTACACTGAGGCAAAATCGATGCTCAATTCAGTTCAGTCTCTTGTCTCTAAGCAAAGGGCACCTCATATCAAAGCTGGCCACACCCCAGCCCCAGAGTTTGAGTTGCTCAGTGAGAGGCCGTTAGGAGATTCTGCCCGACTTAAATGAGACAGCTGAAGCCTAGGGAAGGACTCCAAGATCATCCAAGACACCTCTCCTTCCGCTTCACGTTCTAGGACCCAAGGAACCCTGAACCAGGTCACAGCAAAACTTAGGTAAAGAGAAATTTAACAGACAAACTAAGATTAACTCAAGCAGGACAAACGTGAGAAAGAAAACAGCGGACTGTGGTGGCAGATTTGGTTTTCTTTACTGTAACTCTACTATTCGGCCTCCAAACCTCGCTTCTGTCCCGAGCGGCCCCAGAGCTCTTCCAGGCTCAGCAGGCGACTCTGAACTCGTTTTGAAGAGCTAGTGGTAGTGGCAGCCGCTGGTTGGTTCCAAGCTTTGGGGCTTCGGAGGAGCTAGAGAGCCCTTGCAATAGGTAACGGAGTCTCAAAACTCGGACGCAGTGCGGGGAGCTCAGCACTCCCCTCCTAAGAAGCCGACACTACAGCCCAGCACCCCCGCCACCACCTACCCGGGCCGGCAGCGCAAGGTGAGGGCAGCCCCTCGGCATGCAGCTCAACTGCCGGAAGCACCCAACTCCGGTGAAAACGCAACTCCAGAGGACCGAGCCAGCCGCGCTAGGAGATCGACCAGCGGCCGTCCCACCCACTGCGCTGCTCCGGACCAATGAGATCGGGCCGCGAACCGCTGCACTCCGCTGACTTCACTTCCGGCCACGCCCCTGCTGGGCTCCCGTGCCTGTCGCTGCAGTTGTCAGCTCCAGCGCGGTCCAGGCGAAGGCCTCGCAGATCTTGTTTCCTGGTCTAGTTGAAGGAAGTTAAGCTGCAGTGGAGCCTTTACCTTGCTTAAAGCGCGTCAGCAAACCCAGGCCCGAAACCTGGCTGCCCGGGCGCTGTAAGTGCGGTGATGTCTCTCATCTCTGTCTTCTTTAAACTGCAGTTCACAAGATCCAAAGAACCTTTAACTAGCAGAACCCGTAGCGCGGAACGCGGTCACCCCCTACTTGCCCCTCCAGTCCATTAATTTCTAAACCACAGTTCTCCATCTGTTCATATATCTTCAGTTTTGCTCGGGGGTGGGGGTTGGGAAGTGTCAGGACAGCTAGGTCGGGGTGTGTGGGGGCGGAGAAACAGGTGGAGTGACCAGTTAGAGCCAGAGGCCCAGGCTGGGCTGATAAACAAACAGGTGTGGGCAGAGTTGTGGGCCAGCAGCCAGCTACAGTAGATGTTAAATGACCACTTGCCCATGTGGATATAAAAAAGGGCTTTGAGAGGGCTGGCTTGAGACAGGGTTGCTGAGGCAGATTTGCTCAGTGAGGCAGACTGAGGGTTTGATTTTCTTTGTCTGAGATTTATACCTCTCCCATGACCACTGAGGTAAAGTACCTCTCAGAGTTCCAACCACAAAACCCTTCCCTACCCTCCCAGCTCAGGGTCTCCTTCAGGTTCTCTATGTACAACTATGAGGCACTCTGCACATGCTCCTTAAATGCTGTCAATTTCCACTCTGTCTCTCTCCATCCTTTGTTGAAACAACCCAGTGTCCAACTGACTAGCTGAGGAACGAGTTCCAGAAAGATGAATTTAGAATGAAAGCCCACACAGGAATGTGAACCAATTGTTTTATTTCCCAATCCCATTTCCACGATGAAGTAAAAAAAAAAAAAAAAATGGCTACAGATGAAGGACTGTGGTTGTCATTTTTCCATCAACAATTGTCCTCAATTTGTCTACAGGTCTCAACATCTGTTTCTGGGTCTTTATGTCCTTATGGCTCAGTCTCTGATGTGGGACAGAGAAACAGATACACCTCCAAGGCAGCTGGTATGAAACATGAAAGGAGAATATAGGAGAAATGGAGCTAAGGGGGTAGGGGAGGGAATATCATACTACCAGAACACCAAAAGGGCAAGAATGGTCAGATAAGAGCATGGATGCAAGGTTGGAGAGATGGCTCAGCAGTTAAGAGCCCTGAATGTTCTTCCAGAGTACTCAGGTTCAATTCCCAGCACCCACATGGTGCTCACAACTGTCTGTAACTCCAGTTCCAGGGAATCTGATGCCCTCATACATACATACATACAGGCAAAATCCCAATGCACCTAAAATTAAAATGTTTTATTTATTTATTTATTTATTTATTGGTTTTTCGAGACAGGGTTTCTCTGTGGCTTTGGAGGCTGTCCTGGAACTAGCTCTTGTAGACCAGGCTGGTCTCGAACTCACAGAGATCCACCTGCCTCTGCCTCCCGAGTGCTGGGACTAAAATCGTGTGCCACCAATGCCCGGCTTAAAATGTTTTATTTTAAAAAGAGAATGGATGATTCTAAACTTGGTGGCATAGATTCCAAAATTGGAACTAAGCAGTTGCTAATACATCAGGGAACTGTTTTATGAAAGGAGAAAGGATAGCAAATGAGTAGCCAGTATGGGTTAGAAGTGTTCCTCCTCTACACACAGAGGCACCATAATGTCTCCAGCACATCATAACCTAGGGAACTCAGGTTACCAGGACAGCTAGGCTTTACAGCTTTGCTCATTCCCTGCCCCCACCACACACACACACACACACACACACACACACACACACACACACACACACACACACACACACACACACACTTTTCGAGACAGGGTTTCTCTGTGTAACAGCTCTGGCTGTCCTGGAACTCACTTTGTAAACCAGGCTAGCCTTGAACTCAGAGCTCCACTTGCCTCTGCCTTCTGAGTGCTGGGATTAAAGGTGTGTGCCACCACCACCCAGCAAATCAATCAATCTCTCATCCTATAAGACAAGGTGTTGCTATGTAGCCCAAGCTGGCATGAAAAATTAAGATCCTCTTGCCTCAGTTTCCTGAGTGCTGGGGTTTACAGGTATGTGCTACCATGACTGGTCTCAACCCCAGGGTTTCTTAGGGACTTACCAGTCATCAGCCCTCCCTACTTGGACTGGGGGAAAAGCATAATGCTACAGTCTCCATGGCCTTGGTGATGCTGCCCAGGCCAAAGCCTCCAGATGCAAGAAAGGATACAGCATGTCTTGAAGGGGTGGCTGGGCTGGGAAGGTGCTGGAGCGAAGGCCCTCCAAGGAGGCCTGCAAGGTCTGGATTGTCTTTTGGTCAGTCAGGAGACCCACACTCTGGACCTGTAGGAGAAGGGACAGGAGAGACAGGTCCCCTCTAACTGTCCCCCACCATCCATATTCTTTACTTCCCAATGGCTTAAGTGGCCAGAGCTTCCCCTTTCCACAGAGGGTCTAGCATCCTACAAGTGCATAGCATCCTTTTCCCGCTCACCTGCAGGAAGAAGCCATGCAAAGTCTGGAGTGTATCATTTGGGAGAGCTGACAGGTCCGCCAAAGCTGCACCTTGCAAAATACGACCCACCTCTTCACCAGACAGGATGTTGCTGCTCCGGTACTGCACAAGCTAGCCCAGAAGAGAAGCCCCAAATGTCCACAATTAGAGGAGACACCATCTCTGTTCCCAGCACTGCACTGAGAACACTGTTCTAAAGTGCAAGGTCCTGCTTTTAAGCTCTACACTGGTGGGAATGGGTGGGGATGTCTCACAGGGGAACAGGGCACATGAAGTAGCCTGAGATCCTGAGAGAGCTGGTCTTGGTGATTTCTTCATCAGGCTCCCTCCTCCCCCACCCTTGCACTGCAAACTCATGGCCAAGATGAACTGAGGCAGTTCCTGTAACCTCCTCCTGCTTACTGATCAACCCTTCAAGCTTCGGCTGAAACACTACTACACATCACAAAAGCAATTACTTTTATCTGTGTTTTCTCCTCTGATTTACTTGTGGGTGGCCTTCACTGTCATCCATGAGCTTGTTCCTCTGTTCCTTATTCAATAAGAATTAGTATGTGCCAAATACTCATTCAAAATATCAAACTTAACTATTCATTTACTTGCCTTTCTCCTTTTCTAGAGTGAGGAACCTCTGGAGGCAGAGTATGTGGCTCTGCCATATCCTTGGTACCTAGACCTGTCCTGTGGTAACAGCCCCTGGTCATTGTTTCATGAAAGAAATAAGAGAAAATGTGACCTAAGGTTAGATGTAGCTATTCACAGGAAATCCCTGGTAGGTCTCTTGTTTGGTGAAGGCTACCCAACTCCACTGCTCCTTGAAGATTAGGGTCACCTAAAATACTGCCATGTTTTGGTCCTTTTTAGCACCACCCTGCTGATATCTTCCAGCCATAGGGCCATCCTTTCTGCACTTACCACCGTCATAAGTCTCAGTATCTCAGGTCTGAGGAAGGAATTCTCTCCAGAATCCAAGAGGGTGAATAGCAAAAACCGATTCCAAGGCTGGGAGGCCACATGGAGTGCTGTAAGAAACATCAGTCCTCAGGTGGTTAATGTTGTTCATCCAGGACCCAGGAGTATGCCCAAGGAGGAGTTTCTCCTACTGGCTTAAAAAAAAAAACCCAAAAAACAAAAACAAAAAAACAATGAGGTGCTCAGCTGCAGGCAGGAAATTAGGCAGGCTGGACTCATTAGGTCTCTTGCCTGGACTTCTACCCACCTATATGGACTCTCAGTGACACAGTCTATCCTGTGACTATGAGAGGTAGACAACTGGAAGGTCTCTGCTACTTAGGAGCACTGTGACCATGGTTAGGTAGGTCACTTGAACACTCTGATACTCTGCCCACATCTGTAAAATGGGCATGACAGTGTCATTTGCAGTCAAAGCACTGGATCGGTAAGATAACAGGGTTGACTCCTAATCTTGATCATGGGAAAATGAGAGAATAAAGAAGGTTTCTACCAATGTCTGGGCTCCTGGCATGCAAGTAGTCGAGCAAGGCTTCCAGACAGCCAATACAGGCTTGAGATAAAAGAGGGTCTTTCTGAAAAACAAAACAGAAAAACAAAAACAGAATTAGAGTCAGGATTTATCTGTTTTTCTGATAGGATCTCATGCAGTCCAAACTGGCCCCAAACTCTCTAGATGAATGAATGAATATATATAATCATCAGCAAGGTTTAATTTTAACTAAGAAAAAGTTGTTTTTTGGTTATTTAGATTTCAGTTTTTCAGATATGGAATACAGTCCTGTAGATAACTTTAAAAAGCTTGTTAGATGTCAGGTGTTAAAAAAAACCCAGTCCCAAGGAAAAAAAAAAAAAAAAAAAAAAAAAAAGCATGTTAGATTCGTCTGCTGTGGTGACATATTATTTATGATTTATTAAAGCTTGCATGAGGATTCAGAAAGCTAAGTCAGTCACAAGCCATAGGAGCCAGGCACACACCTTTAATCCCAGCAGCCAAAAAATAGGAGGTGGTGGCACACCTTTTAGTCCTAGGACTCAGGATTAAGAGGTAGATGGCTCTCTGTGAGTTCAAGGCCACACAGATCTACATAAGATATATCCAATCTTCAAGAGAAACAGCTCATGCCTTTGATCCCAGCACCTGGGATCACATGTCATTAATCCCAGAATTAAGGAGGTATATAAAACAGGAGCAAGGTCAGTATCAGACATTCATTCTCCAGTCACATTGAAGACAAGAGCATTCATTCTCCAGGCACATTGAGGATAGGGATCATTCTCCAGGCACACTGAGGATAGGAAGACATTGAAGTCTCAGGATTCTCCAGCCACACTGAGGAGAGACAGCAGTCTGAGGTTTGGTGGAGCCTGTATTGCCTTTCAGTCTGAGGTAAAGAGAGAGCTAGTGCCTGCTGCTTTGCTTTTCTGATCTTCATCTTGAAGCTTGAACCCCCAATATCATTTATTTATGTTACAGTCTGCCATGTACAGAGCACAATGCTGCTCTTAAATAACACTTTGTGACATATACCTCTTTATTTCTCTTGCAACAAGCCTCACTATAATATACCCAGCTGACTTAGATTCTGCTGCAAAGATCAGTTTGACCTCAACTTGTGGCAATCCTCCTGCTTCTGCTACTCACATGCTAAGATTAGGAGTACAACACGGCACACAGCTGTAACAAACTTTTTAAAAAGTACTTCTATTTTATGTGTATAAGTGTTTTGCCTTTATGTATGTCTATGCACCATATGTGTGCCAGGTGCCCTCAGAGGCAAGAAGTGGAGCTACAGATGATTGTGAACTACTATGTTGTTGCTGAGAACTGAACCAGGGTCCTCTGCAAGAATAACCAGTGACCTTAGCCACTGAGACATCTCTCCATCCCCCAAAGATCTATTTATTTTTATTTTATATGTGTGAGTATATGTATGTATGAACGTGTACCATGTGAACACAGTGCCCACAGAGAGCAGAAAAGGGCACTGGATCTCTGGGAACTGGAGTCAAAGACAGTTGTCAGCAAAACTATGTGAATGCTGGAAACTGAAACCAGATCTCTGCAAGAGGAGGGAATTCTCCAACCCCCTAAGTTACCTTTTTTGAAAGAGTGATTTGTTTTAAAAAAGGAGATGGACCCTGGGACCCATTAAAGGTGCACCAATTAGACACTGGAAGACTTTGCAGTGTATCCAAATCAGTAGATATCAATTTTTCAACATCAGAACCTTCTGCCAAACAAAACTTTAAACTCCAACAAACACATGAAAAAAATCACTATCACTAGTCATTAGGGAGATACAAATTAATACTACTATGAAATAGTCACTATATTCACCAGGAGCTAAAATTAAAAAGACTGAGACCCTGTGAATCTTTTAGAAGTTTTCTCTGTCCTATGGCAGAAGAACCAGAGTGACCACGTGTAAGACTCATGTGCCATTGTTGTATTGAAAATGGAAGGCCTGTGTCAAGAACTGAAAGAGGCCCTTGAGAAGAGTTTACTTCCCCTGGATAAGCTCCCAACCTGGTTAACATTGATTTTAGCCAGGTGGGTCCAAGTGGAAACCCCAGTGACAGAGCTTTTGCTTAGTATGTAAGAACACTGGGTTTGATCCCTACCACTACACAAAGACACTACTAACCTAATAGACAATCTAGGTGAATTCACCCAAACTTCTGACCTATAGAACTGTGAGAGGATTAACAGGACTGTTGGGGGATATTTATGTCACTATGTTTTTGGTAACTCATTACAGAGAAACAAACAGATCACTAACACATCATTTGACCAAACAAGCCCCTTTCTGGGTACTCACCCAAGATGAATGAATCTTTATGTATTCACATACAAATTTGTACTATAGCAGTAAGAGCTAATTCATTCAGAGCTGGGAGTAGCAGTACATAACTGAAATCCCAGTACTGCAAGGCAGAGGCAAGTGATCAGGCATTCAAGGCAAGCCAGAACTGCATAATACCTTGTCTCAAAAATACTGTTTTTTAATTTAAGAGTAACTGTATTTATGTTGTAGAGTATTATTTTAAGATGTTTTACATTTGTTTATGCTATGAAACATTTGCTTAATAATGCAAAGATGTGTTACATTCTTTTTAAAATTTATTTAACTTTATTTTATTTGTGTGAAGATGTCAGATCCCCTGGAACTCATGTTACAGACAGTTGTGAGCTGCCATGTGGGTGCTGGGAATTGAACCTGGGTCCACTGGAAGAGCAGCCAATGCTCTTAACTGCTGAGTCATCTCTCCAGCCCAGTGTCAAATTCTTTTATGTTGCACTTGTTTAACTCTGTGAAGCTGTGTTACTTTGCCTGTCTAAAACACATGATTGGTCTAATAAAGAGCTGAACGGCCAATAGCAAGGCAGGAAAAAGGATAGGCAGGGCTATCAGGCAGAGAATAAATAGAAGGGAAAAAAAAGAGAGAAAAGAGATCAAGAAATAAGAAAAGGAGGAGAGGAGGACTCCACGGGCCAGCCACCCAGCCAGACACAGAGTAAGAAGGGGGGGAAAAAAAAAGACATACAGAAATAGAGAAAGGTAAAAGCCCAGAGGCAAAAGATAGATGGGATAATTCAAAGTTAAGAAAAACTGGCAAGAAACAAGCCAAGCTATGGTCAAGCATTTATAAGAAATAATAAGCCTCCATGTTTGATTATTTGGGAGCTGGATGGCAGGTCCCCCAAAAGAACAAAGAGTAAAAACAACCAACAACGTATTTATAGTTGCCAACTGTCTAGAAATCCAAACTTTCTCTTTTTAAGTGAATGGATAAACAAATTGTAGTGTAGCTATTAAAGGAATACCATTTCATAATAAAAAATTAATTACTGATATACATACTAAGTGGATCTCAAAGCCATTAAGCTAAATGATAGAACCTAGCTAAATGTAAGCCCAAATATTATATGATTATATAAAATTCTATAAAAGATAATAGTATAGTGACAGAAAGCAGATCAATGTTTGTAAAGGGTCATGGAGGGGACATGAGTGGCAATGGGGAAATGTTCTAGAATGACAGAAATGTTCCACATTGTGATGGTGTTTACAAAACCATGTATTTTTAGCCAGGAGTGACAACAAACACCTTTAATTCTATCACTCAGGAGGCAGAGGCAAACAGATCTCTAAGTTCAGGGCCAGCCTGGTCTACAGAGTAAGTTCCAGGACAGTCAGGGTTATACAGAGAAACCCTGTCTCAGAAAAACAAATCAAACCAACACAAACAAAAACCATGTATTTGTTAAAATTCATACAGTCATATAGTTACAGTGGTAAATTTTAGCATGTGAGTTACGTCTCAATAAAGTTTTCTGTTGTTTAGTTTTGGCTTCTTTTGAGACAGATGTGTGCCTCATGGCCCAGGTTAATCTCAAATTTTCAATCTTCCTGCCACCTGCTCAGGTTGTACACCCAACTAAAACTGTTTTACCTTAAAATGGAGTCTCATGCATATCAGACTAGTCTGGTAATGACTCAAGTATCGAAGCATGCCCTTAACTTCAGAACCTTTTGCCTTCTGTACTGGACTAGATACGCCACCACAGCTGGTTTATGCAGTGTTTTCGTCCCAGCACTCGGGAGGCAGAGGCAGAGGCAGGAGGATCTCTGTGAGTTGGAGGCCAGCCTGGTGTACAGAGCAAGTTCCAGGACAGGCTCCAAAGCTATACAGAGAAACCTTGTCCCAAGATGACTCAGCAGCTAAAAGCACAGCTTGCTCTTCAATTCCCAGCAACCACATGGTGGCTCACAACCATATATATAATGAGATCTGGTGCCCTCTTCTTGACTGCAGGAATACATGCAGACAGAAAAGTGTATAATAAATAAATAAATAAATAAATCTTTAAAAAAATAAATCTCATACTCCCTTTATTCTATCCATCAGAAAGTGGTACAGCCTCGGCTGAGGTCATGGGGCAGACATGGCTATGGCTGAATCCTTGCTTGGTCTTGTAACAGCTGCACAATCCTGGACAACTTTATTCAGCTGAGTGGGGTTAAAAAGATTATCTGTATTTTTGTTTTAATTATTCTTTTATTTTTAATGTGCATGGGTGTTTTGCCTGTAAATATGTCTATGCACCACATATGTGCCTGGTACCTGTGAAGGTCTGAAAAGGACCCCAAGGGCCTTTAGAATTGGAGCTACAGAGGGTTGTGAGACACCATGTGGGTGCTGGGAATGAAACTTGAATCTCAGAAGAGGAGCCAGGGCTCTTACCTGCTAAGCCAGCAGTTCTTAACCTGTGAGCCATGACCCCTTTTGGGGTCATATCAGATATCCTGCACACCAGATGTTATATTTGAAACGAAACTGTTGGAAGGACTCACACAGAAGGGTTATTGGAAGAGGAGAGAGAAGCAGGCAGGGAGGAGGGCAGAGACCAGTCCCTGGGGACAAGAGTGGCAGAAGAAAAACAGAGAAAGAAGCAGACAGAGAAAGAAAGAGACGGGAAGTAGGCAAGGCCCCACCTTTTTTTTTTTTCTTTTTTTTTTTTTTTTTTTTTTTTTTTTTTTGAGACAGGGTTTCTCTGTGTAGCTTTGGAGCCTGTCCTGGAACTCACTCTGTAGCCCAGGCTATCCTCAAACTCACAGAGATTCTCCTGGCCTTGAAGAGTGAGTTCAAGGACAGCCAGAGCTACACAGAGAAACCCTGCCTCAAAAAAACAAATACAACAGAAACAACAACAACCCACGAGGTGGATAGTGCCTGAAGAACAACAATGCCCGTCCTCTGCTCTCCCTTCCATTTGTGTGGGCACACAAGTGTACCTGGGCACTCATGTGCACTTAGACACAAACACACACTCAAGCGCGCAGGCACACGCACGTGCACACACACACACACACACACACACACACACACACACACAGCAGGCACACCTACACATAGAAACCTGATGCTAATGCTTTAGTCTAATCTGATTCCTGCTTATCTATCTATCTATCTATCTATCTATCTATCTATCTATCTATCTATCTATTTTGGTTTTTCATGACAGGGTTTCTCTGTGTAGCTTTGGAGCCTATCCTGGAACTTGCTCTGTAGACTAGGTTGGCCACAAAGTCACAGAGATCCACCTGCCCCTGCCTCTACCTCCCAAGTGCTGGTATTAAAGATGTGTGCCACCACCACCAGGCGATCTGCCTGCTTTCTACCTCTTGAGTGCTGGGACTCAGGCATGTGACACCATGCCCAGCCCTTGATTTCTGGAAGAAGGAAACACAAAATTGAACCACTTAGTCCCTGCCCTCTGAGGATTTTGGTCTGATGGGAAAGACTGATGTAAAAAGGGGAGAGATGAGGGCTGTGACATGGCAGGTTCATGAGTCCCTAAGAACCTAAAGCCTTGTGTACAGATATGCCACAGGACAGGATCTAGCAACCACTGCCTAGTACATGGAAAATTCCTGGAGTGTCAAATGCCCTTCACAGGCCCTCATGCAGAGTTTACAGGTTTAGTATGAGATGGCTGGATAAACAATAATCTCTAAGAATCCTCTGGGCTATAAAATACAAACACCTCTGGGGGAAACATCTGTTCTGTTTGGCCAGAATCCATTCTCCCTTGAAAACAATTTTACTTTGGAGAAGCATCCTTCTCTCATGCTCAGTTCATGCAGGCTGTACAGAGTTGAACATATGTTCCAGCTTCCAGCAGGCACTAACCCAGGCCAAGCTAGCATGGTGACTATAACCCACTCCAGACTAAGGAGACTCAATTTCAGGAACTTCAAGGAAAGAGTTTCGTTCCATTAAGGCTATCAACCTGGAGCTGCTGCTTCTGCAGCAATGAGAAGCACAGAGCTGCGCTGTGGGAGAGGTGCTCTAGCCTGAGATCCTGTGTTTGAAGGCAGTACTACTCCAGACTTCTCAGTCAGTGAACTCTGGCTTTGCTTGTCATTGCTGGGTATTTTGTTTAGATAGGGTCTCAGACAGCCCAGGTTAACCTTGAATTCTCTATATTCTAAGGACAGCTATGATAGTTAACCTTGGCTTCAGTTTCACTGAGTCTGGGCACACCTGTGAAGGATTTTCCTGATTAGGCTAACTGAGGTGGAGGACCGTCCATAGCGGCCCAGCTGTAAGCATGTCAGAGGGGATGGCTGCTGCTTTGTGCCTGCTCTCTGTGTCTCACGGGTCAGTCCTTCTACCCTGTTCACAAGTCTATCTGCCCTCTTGCTGCTGCCACCACCATCCTTCACTGGCATCAGAACCCAGTTCCTCCAGCATTCCAACATGGACTGAAGACCAGTAGCTCTTTGGAAACCCTCTAGATGTTCAGCACCAGAATGGGCCTATGGATGTATCCAGCCTCGTGGGCTAAGTAGCTACTGATTCTCAACCTCTCCAGTGTAGAGACAGCCACAGTTGGAACTGAAGGGACCAGCTCCCCATTTTGGCAGCCATAACAGCTGAACACGTGCTTGCCCTGACCTTGCCTTGGTCACTAGGAAGTCAGATGTCTGTCTCGTGGCAAGGGACCAATCAGAAGTTAGGTGGTGGTGCTATGCTTTACGACTCTGGGTGTGCTTTACGGACAAGTACACAGCAATGACGCACAGAGCATAGCAACCACCCTGAGAGATCCTATGGGCCATAACAACCAGTTGACCAATCAACACAGGACAAACCCTCCAAGCCTAGAGGCACACCAATCCTGAGCCTGTGTGTACCCATAGAGACTCCCCTTATGTTGCCCTATAAGGTCTCTATGCAGACGCTTCTAGCTGTCTTTCCTAGCCATCCGCCATGGTGGGTGGATGAAAGACCCCAGCTAACATGGGTTTAGCTCGTTAAACAACAATAAAGCCTTGTGCTGTTTGCATCAAGCTTTCGACTCCGAGTGGTGATTGGGGTGGCCTCGGTCCTGGGCTGAGATCCTGGAGGCCTGAGCTTCCGGGGGTCTTACAGAATCAGAACTGTATTGTGGAATACTAATTTAAGATGTGTTACATTCATTTACACTGTGGAATATTTGTTTAATGATGCAAAGATGTGTTGCATTCTTTTATGTGGCATTTGTTTTACTCTGTGAGGCTGTGTTACTGTTACTTTGCTTGCTTATAACACCTGATTGGTCTAACAAAGAGCTGAATGGCCAATGGCTAGACAGGAGAGGGTTAAGCAGTGCTGCCAGGCAGAGAGAATAGATAGGAAATCTAGGGAAGAGCAAGGAGTGAAAAAAGGAGAAGAGGACATCAGGGCCAGCCACCCAGCCACATAGCCAGCCACAGAGTAAGTAGGAAAGAATGATATATAGAATAAAGGCAAAAAGCTAGTTAAAGAGAAACAGGAAAATTTAAGTTAGGAAAGCTGGCTAGAAACAAGTCAAGCTAGGGCCGGGCATTCATAAGAAAGAATAAGTCTCGGTGTATTTATTTGGGAGCTGGGTGACAGGCCACCAAAGAGGTAAAAGAGAAAAATGTCAAAAACCAATTACAAAACTGTATTTTGTATGCCAATTATCAATTATGATATTTGGGATACAGGCCTCAAACTCTATCCCAGGAGCTTGTCTTTCAGATGCCAGCTAATTACCCATGGATGGCTTGGCCTCTGTGGAGAATGTCTCCTAGTTTGCATAACAACAGACCTAGGCCCTGGGTGCGTTCTGAGCACTTGTTTAGGTGCCTAGGGAATGTTTAGGTGTGCTGCTAGGGTTAAAAGAATTTTTGGATATCAGCTTTATACATGATAGTAGATGTCTTCTGCTGTAACCCCCACTGTGGGAAAGCTATTTAAGAGGATGCTTGAGTAAACTGTGCACTCCAGACTCCAGCATGGACTGACAGCCCTCCTGAAATGACAAGTTGTGTCTTGTCTTTATCACCGTTGGATAGCTAGGAGTTTCCCGGTCCAGCACTCCCCAGTTCAGGGATGGACCCGGGGCCATTCGGTTGGCCCCGATCTCAGCCCCCAGAGGCATCAGTCAGGAATAGATAGCCTCTCTAGTGTGGGACTGATACAAGCTGGGCCAGGCAGCCAATCTAATAGACTCCTTTTGCTACCTATTCAGTCTTATCTGTTCTGTTCCTCTAGACATCTGTAATACCATGATCATGAACTCCTGATATTCCTCCCTCCACCTCCCAAACACTGGGATTTCACCTATGTGACACATGGCTGCTCTGATGGAAACACTAGTCTCCTGAGAGGAAGCCATCTTTTCCTGCTGTCATGAGAACTGGAGTTCCCACCCCACTCAGCCAGAGCCTTACCTGCACCAGGAGGTTCTGAAGCCCAATAAGCAGGGATAGCACTTGCGATGTTCCCAATGGAGCTAGGACAGTATCCTCAGGAGTTGGCGGTGGTTGACCCCCTGAGGGCACCAAAGCCACCAAGGCAGACGAAAATCTTTGCTGCAGGGCTGTCCGCAGGAATCGTAGGATGGCAGCTGGAAAGAGGAGACTACTGACACCCTGTTCCTCTTCATCCCCTATCTTCCACCCAGGAGGGGAAATGGTGCTGATAAAGAATTATGGTCCGGATGGGTGGTCCTATCTAAGAATCCAAGGAAAGGTATTTTTCTCCTGCTGGGAAGTCCACACCATACCTGACAGCAGTGCAGACTTTTTCTTTGGAAAGCTGAGAGCCTTTAATAGTTGGTTCAGTTCTACAGATAATGTCTGATGGACCTGGCAGAGAAGGGGTGGGAGTGTTAAGTGCAATCGGTGTTCTAGAGGCGCGGGTAGAAAGTGGCCTGCCCTCCTCCTGTTGCACCTGTTACATCAAGACTTGAGGCAACATAGCCCTCTGAGCCGTACTATCCTGACGTCAGGAGTGTGAGGAGGACAATCAAGTCTGAACCTAGAGAACTCATTCTTCTCTGAAGTCCTCCCAAACATCGATAGCCTCCAGGAAGCCTTCTTCAGCCTAATCTGCAGTTTGGTCTCTGGCTCTACTCACCTAACTCAGAAGACCTAGAGTTGGACACACCAAATCAAAACCTTAGCTCTAGCCAAATGTGGTGGCACATGCCTACTGTCTCCTTGAGAGGGGAGGATTGTGAGTTCAAGGCCAGCCTGAATTATAGTGAATCCCTATATAAACATAATAGGTAAGGCACAGCATCTCTCTCAACCTGCCTTGCTTTCTTCATCTATGAAAAACAGTACTTCCTGCTTTCACTGCCTCCAGAGTTCTTTGGGAGACTGGTTACTGTAAGTAAACATAAGCCTAATGTCCAAATTGAGGAGCTAGACAGAGCGGCCCATCTATTCTGCTCTCCACCAGAACACAAGCTGTCAGAGGGCAGCAACTACTACTCTGCTTGGCTCAGAGACTAGCACAAAGAAATTTGCTGGTTGTTGGTGGCGCACGCCTTTAACCCCAGCACTCGGGAGGCAGAGGCAGGCAGATCTCTGTGAGTTCGAGGCCAGCCTGGTCTCCAGAGTGAGTGCCAGGATAGGCTCCAAAGCTACACAGAGAAACCCTGTCTCAAAAAAAAAAAATTCCTTAAACATCCTAGACTGAATTAAGGCAGTGGAGCTGGGTGGAAGCAGGTGGTCAGCTAGGCACATGCTGATGGCCAGGCACAGTCAGGAGGGATGAAGGAGGGACAGGCTTCTTCTACCCAGGCATGTCACCACAGAAGTGTGAGTGGCCCAAACTCCTCACAGAGAAAAACAGGGAAGGTTTCTGTTCTGAATCAATCATGGCACAATCACAGTGACACACACCTATAAAATCACATCTAGGAGATAGAGGCAGGAGGACGACGAGTTAAAGGCCAGAATCAGCTACATAACAAATCTGAGGCCAGTCTGGGCCACATGATACCCTATCTCAATAAAAGAGAGAGAGACAGAGAGACAGACATGGTTATACATGCCTTTAATCCCACCATTCCAGTGGTGGCAGCAGGCAGATCTCTGTGAGGTGGAGATCAACCTAATCTACGGAGGAATCCTGTCTCAATAAATAAATAGTAAACAAAAAATGGCCCTAGGCAATACCATACAGTGTCTGCCATAGCACATAACTGCTACAGTTTGTCACTTCCACAGGAGCCAAAACCAATTTCCCTTCTAACAGATGAACTGTGTGGCCATCACTAGCCTGGCAGTGCTGGGGTGCTGGGCAAATACTGTGAAGCTTAGAGATGGTTTCTGTCCATGAGGAGGAGCTTGGGGAAGAGATACTTGAATATGTAGTAGCCCAGAGTGGAGCTCACAAAGGGCATTGGGATGACAAGGTCCTCCAGAAGGTTTTCTATGTAGATGTCCACTGCTCTCGTGTTCCCTGCATCCACCTCCAACAGTGACAACGACAGCTAACTACATGTGGCACTCTGCATCTTGCCACTGGGCACCACAAGGTCCCAGCTGGCTCCCGCCTTCTTGTCTAACCCAATCTATCTGTTCACTCCCTCATTCTAGCCACACATATCAGCTCATCACTAAAGACATACCCATGTCCTAAATTTGTGCATTTTAATGCCCTTGTTCATACTGTACTCTCTGCCTGGGAGCACCTTCCCCACTGCCTTTGCCAAGTACAGTCTTCCTTCAAGGCTTTCCTTAGAAAACACATTCCTTAAGGGTAGCACAAATGCTATAAGCATTTTTATTTCTCTGTACCCAGAATACAGCCTGACATGTAGGTGATCCATTCGTGTTAAAAAGAACACTTTAAACCAAGTTGTCAATAACCCCAACCCCTTCGATTCCCACTTTGTATGTAAAAACTCTGAAACTCAGCACAGTTGAGTATTTTGCCAAGGTCACACAGCTAATATGCCACAGAACTGGGGACAGAACTCAGGATTTTACCACTTCTTTAAGTGCTATCTCAAGTCTCAAAGGTGGGGCACTAGAGACACTAACCTGCAAATTGCCATTGTGCTGCTGGGCAGAGAAGGAGGCAGCGAGCAGCCAGGCAGAGCAGAGCAGTGGAGTCCTGGGAGAGCCTGCTTCTGTCCAGGTGAGGGCCAGCATCTTCTCCAGAAGCTCAACCAAAGCTGTGCTGCTCAGCAGTACAGCAGCAGCTGCAGGGAGAAGAGGGGAGAGGCAGCATCTAGTTTAATACCTCTATGGTGTTCAGTGCCTGACAGGGCCTCAAGCATATAAAAACAAACAAACGGCTCATTGGGGGATCGAAGGAGCCTTGCACATTGAAGAATCACGAACTATCAAAATCAAAGAGTCTCATCATTGTCGACCACACACAAACACCTAGATATTTTTTAAGAAGAAAAACCCAAGGGCACCAAGGACCCCTGACACTGGCCTCTTCAGTGACTCTACCTGGGCCCCTGTACCTCTTTTCTGGCTACTGGGTGTAGTCCGATGAAGACTCCAGTACAAGAAGTTGAAGGAAGGCTGCAGGATATCTACATCTGCAGGGCTACACTTCCCACACAGCTTGCTCACTGCAAGAAACCAGAATCCACAGGTAGCCTATGGCACAGAACTCATGGTTTAAGTACTCTTACACTTCACACAGACGCTGGCCAACAACTGGCTAGTTTCAGATGCCAGTCTCGGGGGAGAACACAAACATTATGTTATAGCCAGTAGAAAAAAGAATGATGACAACCTTGAAGGTAAGTTTACTCACACCCTCCATCTGTATAAGCCAAATAAGCCAGCCACAACCAACTGGCAATCTGAAACACAGTTATGCGTTCACTTGTCAAGGGAATAGTCCCACTGTGTGTGCCTGCTACCTTAGCAATGATCCTCATTCCCTAAAACCATCCAGCCACTTAATCATCTCTGTTGCATTCCAAGGAGATTCTGTTATTCTGTATGGACAATTCCCTACATTTGCTATCCTCCTGCCTCTACCTCTTTCTTCTTCCTTCCACCTTCCCTCTCTGGTTTTGAAGAGAAGGGCTTCATGTATGCTGGACTAGCCACAAATTCACACTGCTGACAATGGTGATCCTCCGACTTCTGCCTTCCAAGTGCTGGGATTATGGGTGCGTACCACCACTCCAAGCTTTCTTTTTTAAAAAACAGAATCTTGCTGTATAGTCCTGGCTGATCTTGAATTTATAGTCTTCCTGCCTCGACCTCTAGAATTCTACGGTTACAGGCAGAACCCTTATATCTGGTGGGTTCTATTTCTTATATCATTGCTTTCTGGCTAACTTGACTCCTATTCAATCACCGAAATTCAGGTTGGGGTTTCTAGTGTTGTAGCTTTCCATGAACTTTCTATGCTGGAGCAGGACTACTCTTCCACTTTCTCCTCCCCCTTCTTCTGCTGAGACAGGGTCTCTCTATGTAGCCATGGTTGTCCTGGAACTCCCTATGTAGACAATGCTGGTCTCAAACTCACAGAGATCCTCTTGCCTCTGCCTTCTAAGGACTGGGATTAAAAGAATGCATCACCACACCTGGCTAGGCTTTTCAGTGATACTGCTACCTTTGAGTCACCCATATTCTTTTATGGGGTGGGTTCAAGGGAGACAGGGCTTCTCTGTGCATAGTCCTGGCTGTGTGGATTTGTAGATCAGACTGGCCTCAAAATCACAGAGATCTGCCTGCCTCTGCCTCCCAAGTGCTGGGATTAAAGGCGTGCGCCACCACTGCCTGTCTTAATTCCACTAACCTCTCATTGGCTGAGCTGGGATTGAATCCTCTTTGGTCTATCAGTGCCCCATCTGAGCCAAACAGACATTTCCTTACATCTCCCCAGGAAGAGGAATGCAACATTACAAACATTATACAACCAAAGATGACTCAGAGTGGAGCAATTGCATGGCCTCTGATAAAGTGGTTAAGATACGCAATTAGGGCTGGAGAGATGGCTCAGAGGTTACGAGCACTGACTATTCTTCCAGAAGTCCTGAGTTCAATTCCCAGCAACTACATGGTGGCTCACAACCATCTGTTATGAGATCTGGTGCCCTCTTCTGGTGTGCAGATATACATGGAAGCCGAATGTTGTATACATAATAAATAAATAAAATCTTTTTTAAAAAGATAGGCAATTAAGCTTAAGCCATGTGAGGGTGGAGCATCCATGGAGAAATCCCAGGGTAGCCATTTTTCTCCATGTGGGATAGCATGCTTCCTTGATAAATGTGGTCCACAATATATGTGAGTACAAGGATGTCCCCCAAAATGCGTGACAAACCAAACAATATTGCAACCCCTGAAAACACATACGGATCCATATTATAATGAGCTGTGGTGTAATAAACAAAATTTTAAAGAGAATTATTGCTGAGACGGCTCAGTGTGTATAAGCACCTGTCACAAGGACTGAAAACTTGAGTTCACTCCCTAGTACCTACAAGAAGACATAAGGAGGGAACAGGCACCACAGAGCTAACCTCTGACTCCCACACACATGCCTGTGGTCACATACAAATCATACACCCTGAATAATAATGTCGGCTTTGTGACTTCTGCCATGAGTGATAAGACGCACAATTGAGGCTGCCTAGAGGGAGCATGCTCATTTGAGGAAGAAATAACAATGTGAAAAGACCATGAAGATGAAATCCTCCATGTTAGCCTCTGATTTGGCAAGAAAAGTGGATGGGAGGATGCGATAGAGCATTGGTTCATAGTTGGGCAGTATGGCACACGCCTTTAACCCCAGCACTTGGAGGGAGGAGTCAGGTGGTCAGGTGGATCTCACTGAGTTCAAGGCCAGCCTGGTCTACATAGTGAGTTCCAGCACAGCTAGGGATGTTACACAGAGAAACACTGTCTCAAAAAAAAAAAAATTGGTTCAGAATGATTTGGCTCAGGCCAGACATGGTAGCATGCATCTGTGATAACCAGTGTTCAAGGGGCTGAGGCAAAAACAATTCCAAGTTTGAAGCCATCATGGGTTATCTACCAAGAGCTTGTCTCTACAATAAAAAACAAAAAATAAAAAAAATATTCAGTTGGCAGATTATCTCTGTCACTGGATGGCTCATCTGCATTCCTGAACAGAGCAGTCATGACACCAAAGAGCAGAGCTCCAGAGAACATTTCCCTCTCATCCTAGAAGCACCACTCACCTCTCCATCGTCCCAGTAAGCCTACCTAAGGCCCTTTTCCCTTTTTGACAGCCGTCTCACTCTTGGACTTCTCACTTGGTCCGTTGTCAACTGGGCAAGTAAGTCTTCCCTCAACAGCACCACTACTCCAGAAATACAGTCCTTTCCTCTCTCTGACAGAGGGACTCAAGAATTGTATGTAAATGTCTTCTATATTTCACATGTAGGTTTCAGCCTGTTATTCTTTGTCAGAATAATCAAAATCATTCTGTGTGTGTGTGAGAGAGAGAGAGACAGAGAGAGAGAGAGAGAAAGAGAGAGAGAGTGTGTGTGTGTGTGTGTGTGTGTGTGTGTACATACTTGAGATAGGAGTTAGGATTTAATGTAGTCTAGATAGCCCTGAACTCACTATATAACCAAGGATGACCTTGAGCTCCTGATCCTCCTCCCTCTTAAGTTCTGGGGATCACAATAATAAAAATAAAAAATATTTTTAAAAAGAAAGATGCCAGAGAACTGTGAATTAAATGGCCAGAGATGTGAGTCAACTGTGAGGCAGGGAACACAGCTGGTCAGGAAGCATGACCTGACACAAACTGTATCCAGAAGGCCTTTGTGTGCCAAGCACTACACATCTACCAAAATATGTATTTGTGTCTCAACCCTACAGAGAGATGACCCATTCTTACTGTCCACCCAGCTATCGATAGCTAACATGCAAACGCCTTTCTGACTTAACTAGAGCTGGTGCCTACCACATACTGATTGTTAGTTTGTTATTTGGGGTTTTGGTTTGTTTGTTTGTTTGGTGTCTCCCAAATATTCCTTTACAATGAATAGAGAGAGCCAAAAGACGTCCCCAGGAACAGACTGGCTGTTCACATCTTCCAAACCGAGTGGGCCCTGCCGTACTCAGTCCCAGGCCTGTGGGCACTGTCTCAAGCAGCCAAGGTACCTTGATGAAGCAGTTTCATGGCTGTGCTATCCAATTCTTGCTCCGACTCATTCCTCAGCTGCACCAGGGAAAGGAGGTTCAGCAGCAGTGGCAGGTTCCTGGAGGCTATGGCGAACAGGAATGGGCTGCTCAGAGAGCTGAGCTCAGCCCACACAAAGGTCAAATACCATCCTGCCACAAACAGCCCTAAGTAAGGGCACTTGACTCTCACTTCTCATGAGGGACAGTATTAGTAGCTCATACATTGGATGCCAACTCTAGTTAGCCGTTGGAAATCTATTACTTCACTAAAGTCTATTAAAAAACACATGAAATGGACTTTTATTCCTATTTTGCAAATAACAAAATAAAACTCACAGTGATTTCTAACATGGGCCCCCATAGCTACTGAAAGGCAGGATGCTATGCTCCGGTGTCTGTAAAGCCCCCATGTCCCTATGCTGAAATCCAATGTGAGAGTACTAGGAAGTGGGGCCACCAGAAATTCAAGTCATAAGACACTGCCACCATGAATAGTATTAATGCCCATAAGAGAGGCTCCGAAGAACTAGTCGCTTGTCCCTTATGCCTCAAGAAGATACAAGTTGTCTGAACATAGTGGATTCTCACCAGACATCAGATCTGCTGCTCTGCACTCTGGATTTCCCAAGAACTGTTAGTAATATCCTATTGTTCATGAGTCACCTAGTTTGTGGTGCTTTGTTACAACCACTGAAACAAAGGTAGAAACAGAATGCAAATCCATTTCCCATGCATGACTTTTCCAATAGTGTGTGTGTGTGTGTGTGTGTGCGCGCGCGCACGCGCGCGCGCGTGCACACACACGCACTGGCAGAAGGGTGCAAATGCACATGCATGGAGATCAGACATAACTTCATGGAATTAGCTCTCTCCTTCCACCTTTACATGGGTTCCAGGAATCAAACTCGGCTTGGCAGGCTGTTCAGCTAGTGCTTTACCTGCTGAGCCATTTCACTGGCCCAAACCTAACTGTAACCAGTACTATCATCCAGATACATTTTGTTCTTCCCTAGAAAGGAAGTGCTTGGATCCTCAAAAATGGAGTGTTTTTTTTTTCTTTTTTTTTTTTCTGGACTGGATTTGGGAGCCACAAACCTCTTCCCACTTGCCCTTGATGGCTCAGAAATTTAGTTTTAAAAAAATCAGACTCTTGGGCCAGGTGATAGCCTTAATCCTAACACTCAGCAAGCAGAGACAGTGGATCTCTGTAAGTTTGAGGTCAGCCTAATCTACAAAGTGAGCTGCAAGCCAGCCAAGGCTACACAGGGAGATCCCTCTCCCGCCCCCCCCCTTTTTTTTTAAATCAGATTCTTGAGCCAGGCATGATGGAACATACATCTAATCCCAAAAGGCAGGTGGATCTCTATGAATTTGTGGCCGGCCTGGTCTATATGAGACCTTCTCTCAAAAACCCAAAACAGCCAGGCAAGTGGCACATGCTGCCTTTAATGCCAGCATTCGGGAGGCAGAAGCAGGTGGATCTCTGTGAGTTCAAGATCAGCCTGGTCCACAGAGCAAGTGCCAGAATAGGCTCCAAAGATACACAAAGAAACCCTGTCTCGAAAAACAAAAACAAAAAACAAAACAAAACAAAACAAAAAATCAGATTCTCAAAAAAAAATTCCAGCCTCTTTAAAAATAGCTGAAGACAAATCAACTCCAAGTATGAGCTTCTTCAAACTGGAAAGCCAGCTTTTGTGACTGACTGTTAGCATATCCTCCTGGAGCTCTCCCGGGATTCAACACATCACAGATCCACCCTACTCCCACAGCCCTGCTGGGTCCCCAGCCTCCTCCAGATTTCCACTTTCTTTTTCCCACGGGGAGCTGCCATTTCTGTGACAAACAGCTCCAAACACATGCTGTGCATGGTAGGGACTGGCCTGATTTTTCTTCTGTTGCAAAACCTGATCAGACTCTTCCTTAGAGCACAGGTCCCCAAAACAGAAAGATCCACTCTGCATGTCAACACATGACCAAGGAAAACTGACCTCCTGAGGTGGAAGCTCCATACTCCACCAGCAGGCGCTGCAGGATGAGCAGGAAGTGGCCTCGGATGAGCCCGCCCACTTCAATATCTTCATTCTCCCGAATGAAGGTTCTCAGAACAATAAGTACCTTGCGGGCTGTGTCCACGGGACTGGAATAGACGAGGTCCTGAGAAGAGAAGGAAGCCAGAGCTCAGAGAGTACACAGCCAGGGGCAGGCAGACAATGCAGGAAAGAGGGTCAGGGAATGGGCCGAGGATGATGGTTTCATAAAATCTGAGTGGTCTCACTTAGCACCTAATTTTGTACCCAATGTCCTGGTGGATACGCTGACTCCTCACAAATGCTGGAGAACAGTCCAGTCCTATTACATCAAGAAGCAATCAGACAGGGACATTTGCCTGAGGTCACATAAAACCCGTAAGTGACAGCAAGGACGTGAATGTAGGCCTCTGGACTCAGGGTGCCTCTCTTGTAACTTAAAAGTATGAGGGTCAAGAAGAAGTTGTTTTTAGGACCAAGAACCTGAGAGCCAGAAGACTACAGAGAGGGCAGAGATATCATAGGCCAGGGGAAGAATAGGCCGGGAGAGATTCAGGGCATGGGACAGGGGGAAGTGAGGACCAGGTCAGTCCCCTTCTCTGCCATGGCATCTGCCCATCCCTGCCCCAAGCAGTGAAGGTCTTAGGTTCAGGAAATGGAAACAGACATTTTGTTTTGTTTTCAGAGTTATTTTAATGAGCCTATGCTGAAGGCAAAACAGGCAGAAGGGGCACCAGTAGCTGTCCCTAATAGCTCCTGGCACTGACCAGCTCCAATGTGCCAATGCCTTTGGACACGTGAATGTGTCGGGCCAGTTAGGATGGAGTGCTATGAATCCAAGGTCACACAGACTCTACACAAAGAGAACAGCTCCCAGTACAGAGAAAGATGACTACAGGGCAACTCAGCCAAACAGATCCTGATGTGGTGATCACTGGGTGGACAGGGCAGGATGGGAAAACACAGGGCTTGGCCTCTGGAGAAACAACGACAATATCAGCAGTTAGAACCTAATAACATGGGCTGGAGAGATGGCTCAGCGGTTAAGAACCTAACAACATAGGTGCTGCCCTATTCTTATATCATAGCCAAACATTTGTCTATATATTTTCTTTAGGGAGGGGGGTGTCCAGACAGGGTTTCTCTGTGTAGTCCTGGCTGTCCTGGAACTCACTCTGTAGACCAGGCTGGTCTCGAACTCACAGAGATCCACCTGCCTCTGCCTCCCAAGTGCTGGGATTAAAAAGGTGTGTGCCACCACCACCCAGCTGACTATATATTTGTTCATCTTCCTGATAACTCCTCCAGTTACATGTCACCCCAATTTCCAAATGGAGAAACTAAGGTAGATCAATTAGTTATTTATTAAGAAAGTAGTAGAGAGTCAGACTGCAATCTCAGCAGTCAGGAGGATGGGGCAGGGGAATTCCATGAGTGCAAGTCCAGTCTGTGCTAGGTATTAATTTCCAGGCTATATTAGGCTACAGAATAAGATGACGGCTTAGAAAGAAAAAGAAAATAGTAGAGTTGTAGATTCTACTATAGTATGTGTTAGTGAAGGGGAGGGGTAAAGTGACTTTACCTCTGTCACTTCACAGAGACTCAAAAAACATCTCTGAGAAGACAAAATCACAAATTGGAGGGCTGAGGAAAATCTAGGTAATTTCAGAGATAGATGTGTGGTACAAGCCTAAAACTCTAGCACTCAGGAGACAGAGACAGGAGGGTCTCAAGTTCATCCCACTCCTCTACTTTAAAGGATGTGGGGCTGAAACCTAAAATAGGAATAATTTATTTAGGGTCAAGAGAGTAAAGGTCAAGCCATATACCCTGTTGTCCTTTGCTGGCCCATCCCTATCTCACTGCCAGGGATGGTCCCTGGTCCCTCAGAAACTGTGAATTTTAAAGGTCTAAAAGGAAAGGAAGGGATTATGTGGTCTTTGCCGTCCACACTTTGTCAGCCAAATGTTGCATGCTGGTATGTACCCCATCACATGGGCTAGTGAGAAGGTGTTGGGCGGACCCATGGCCCACTGAATTTTCAACTGTCCAAACTGTCCAGACTCAGAACAGAGCATCTGTGACAGCCTTGTTTTTCACGGCTAAACAATGTATGTGAAAGACCACCCGTTGATAAGAGTGGCAATTACCAGCTTTGTTTGCAGCTGTTAATTACCCATATCAAAACCAGAAATTGGTCCCAGCACATATTTTTAGACTCTTTTCCCTCCTGCAGCTAAAAGCTGGGAAGAAATGGTGGGAATTATATGTGTGAACAGAAAACAAAGTTGTTCCTTGCTGTTCTTTTCACCATTGATATTTCTAGGATCTAATTTAGTAAGATTCAGTAACTGTGATCTCTGGTCCTGGTCATGATCCTCATTACCTTGGGCAATTCTATTAGTATCTCTGACATGAACATTATCTAGCTGAGACTCAAAGCCAAGGATTAGTAAGTGATCATCTGTATGTGGCATACGTTTAATATTCCTCTACATTACCTCCCAGCCCTCCTGCTATCTCCACTTTACCTGAAATGCAGAAAAGCCTCCATTTCCCAGATCTCTAAATGGCATCCTATTGAGCCTCAGGCAAAGGGAAATCAAAGGCTCCTGTGGCCGGCTGCAACCACCTCCAAGAAGAGGTGAGTAGGATGGTACATATCCAGGGGCAAGGCCTGAGCCAGAAGGATAAAATGGGGCACCCCATCCCTTCCTGAGAACAAGGAGTCTAAGGATTTGGTCTTTGGAGATTCACTTTCTCGTTGGCTTGCTTCTCCTAAGCGCTTATTTCCTTTGACACTGGTGGCCCAGGGCAGTTTTCAGCCAAAGTAGGTAGTCTCTACCCTAACAAGACCCAAACTGTGAAAGGAACAGAAAGAAGAGATAACTAGCTGCACCTTCTTCATAATAATTATGGATTTACATTGTTTATTTATCCATGTGTTCCAAGTGCATGCTCTCTACCACTGATTCACACCTCCATGCCAAGGAGCTCCGTGTTAGACAAAACTGTTAAGTAGATGGTTGGCATTATAAGACTGAGCTTGGAGTGGTCAGAAGTGGGGTGTAGACTTGAGTCATCAGCATACAGGTAGAAGGCTACCAGAGCCCTGGATAGGTGAGCCAACCCAGGAGAAATGCACCGAGCAAAGACAGCCTCGGACAGAACTTTGCAGAATACCATCCTTCAAGATCTAGCCAGCGTACAGGGAACTCGCTAAGATTGAGAAGGAGCATCAAGAGAAGGGTGAGGAAAATCAATAGATGACATACCTTAAACCAAGAGTGTGCCACTAAAATGAGAGTAGAGGGCCATCAGTATCAACAGGTCACTTAAGAGGATTACCAACAAGCCTATGGCAATCAGGCAGAGGCACCCTTGTTATTAGGGTGATGCAGTTTAAAGGGGCATCAGGGCCTGAAGCCAAAGGGCAGAGGAATTAATGAGATGGAGGTGAAAAGTTTGAAGCAGACAATTACTTCTAAGCGTTGAGATGTCCCAAGGAAGGACATTAAAACATAAAGAGTGGGAGGCAGGGACTCAGGAGCCCATAGGTAAAGGGGGAAGGTCTTCAGGGCAACTAGAAAATAGCTAACAGGGCTCACTCAAAACAAACAAACAAAAAACAAACAAACAAAAAAACCTCTCTCCTCTCTTCTCCTCCTCCTCCTTCTTCCTTCTCCTTTAAAACCCAGGCTGTTCTTAAACTCACTATATAGTAGAGGGTGTCCTTGAACTTCTGACTCTCCTGCCTCCACATCCCAGTTCTGGGACTACTTATGCATCATCATGCTCGGCTTACGCAAACTGGGATGAAACCATGAGCTTCCCACGTGCCAGGCAAGCACCCTTGTCAACTGAATTCACCTCCCAGAGTCTGCCATCTGTGAACACAAAAACGAATGCGTGCACCCACCAGCAAAATGAGGAGGCTGCTAGGCGTACTTCTGAGCATCTGGAACAGAGCTGCTAAGTTAGCAGGAAAGATGGTATGGCCAGGAGACGAGTCATCATCTAGGCTCTCATAGTTGCACTCTTCCCGAGAAAACCAAAGTTCCAGGACACGATACCCAAACCTACTCATCAACCCTGGGTATAACAGGAAGAACCTGAGCAGGAGTGGGTGGTGGGTGTAGACCAGGTGCAGGTCTGAGATGCCCTCTAGGAACTTTCTGATTGCACTGATGACAGCCTGGAGGGAAAAGAAAGCAACTAAATATACCTTGCAGAGGACCTGGAATCCCAATGGAGTAACCAATGGCTGAGGGAAATGTACTGGTATCTCAGCAACCCAGTACATCTCACTGCTCATGCCAATGGACCTGGAGAGAAAACCCCACAGTGCTTGCCTTTTAACAGCAGTTCTCAACCAGGAGTGATTTGCTCCCTGTGTGATATTTGGTAAGGTCTGAAGACATTTCTGATTCCCACAGGGGAAGTGCTACTGACATCTACTGGGGAGAATACAGGAATGCTGCTAAATACCCTATAATCCCAGCAAAGATCCTCACAGGGGACACACACACACACACACACACACACACACACACACACACACACACACACACACACACACACACACAAATGACAGTGCAAGATAAAAGCAGTGCTGAGACTGAGGAGCCCAGCCCTATCATGGCATCTCAATGTAACATATCAATATTTCTGTCTGTCTCCTACCCTAGACTAAAAGTGCATCTAGGAGAGGGCCTGGCTCAGAAGGGAAAAAGCAGATTTGTCATTTACTATTCACTAGGAACCCACTCCTTTCCCATAGAAAATTGATCAACATTCAAATTCCTTAGGTAATCTTGACAATAAAGATTAACAAAAAGATTGGACTTGATTGGGAAACACTCAGGAGATAGTAAGGCACACCCTGGTGTGTCTGTGAGGGCATTTTTATAAACACTAACTGTGTGGGGAGGTGGGGGAGACCTACCCTGAATGTGAGTGTCACCATCCTAGAGGGTGGGGGCTTAAATGGAATAAAATGGAGAAACGGGGAAAATCCACTATTAATTTGTGGTTTAGCTGGATGTGATGGCACATGTTTCTAATCCCAGCAGAGGCAGTCTGAGTTCTAGACCAACCTGGTCTACGTAGTGAACTCAAAGACAGCTAGGGCTATTCAGGGAGACCCTGGTGTAGAGGCATCTTGTTCTGCCAATAGGGTGTTGGCTTTGGTGTTTGGACATGACCCCTTATAAGGAAGAGGAGGGGCTCACTTGGGCTCTCTTGGGTTGTAGTCTCAGCATCCTGGATTGCAGACCCTGAGCCTTCGGGGGGCAAAAGACCCGGGTAGTTATTTACCATCACTATGTGAATGCTCCCCAAATAAATACGTCATTCTTTATTCTTACTGGGAAGGTAGGACTCCCGGGCATTCTCCAGTAAGATAAAGCCACATGAAGATAGACAGATTAATAGTTATGGGTTAATAATTAAGAAAGAGCTAGCCAGTAAGAAGCCTAAGCCAATGGCCAATCAATTTTAAATAGATATTAAATCTCAGAGTGGTTATTTCATGGTGGCTATAGGGAACTCAGACTAGATGGAGAAAATCTCTCAGTACCCTGCCTCAAAGTGAATAAAAGGAAGGAAGGACGGAAGGAAGGAAGGAAGGAAGGAAGGAAGGAAGGAAGGAAGGAAGGAAGGAAGATTATGGCGGAGGTAACACAGCTTGTTTCAAAAAAGGGGGTGGGGAATGAGTTCTGCAGATGCCTCAGTGGTCACAAACACTTACTGGTCTCACATAGGATCTGAGTTTAATTTCCAGAACCCAGGCAGACAGCGAATAACCACCTGTAACTCTAGCTCCAGGAAATCCAACACCTTTCTCTGCTCTCCATGGGCATCTACACACATAAATAAAACTACATCCTTTTTTGTTTTGGTTTTTCCTGACAGAGTTTCTTTGTGTAACTGTCCTGGCTGTTCTGGAACTTGCTTTGTAGACCAGGCTGGCCTCAAACTCACAGAGATCTACCTGCCTCTGCCTCCTAAGTGCTGGGAATAAAGTGTACACCACCACTGTCCGACCAATTATTTTTAAAAAGTAGAGGGAGAGCTCAATTTGCTTGCTTAGCCTGTATGGGGCCCTGGGTTCTATCCCCAGAACTGTATAAACCAGGTGTAGTAACAAATGCCTGTGACCCAAGCTTTCAGGAGGTAGAAACAGGAGGATCAGAAGATCAAGGACATTATTGTTTAAATAATGAGTTCAAGGCCAACCACAGGAGCTGCTGATTCAAAAAAAAACCAAAAGAGTCAAGATCATAGACTACTTTTTGTTGTTGTTTAGGAAAAAAAAAGATGAGAGACAGATAGCAAGTAAATGTGATATGTAGTTCTGCACTATATCTTAGATTGGAAAAATGGCTATAAAGAACATTATTAGTTTAAGTAGTAAAATTTGGTGGCTACAGTTGTAGTTCAGTGGTAGATTGCTTGTATAGCATGTCAAAAAGGCAGCAGGTTCAATTCCTAGCACTTAAAAAAAAAAAGAGCAAAATTAGACTACTGACTTAAGGACTGAGTAGAGTAGTATCTCTAGATTTTGTTTGTTTGAGACAGAGCCTCACCCAGATTGGCCCAGAACTTACTATGTAGTCTAAGTTGGCCAAAATCATCCTGCTCTAGATTCTCAAACACTGTGACTGCAGACATAAGCCACCACAACCAACCTAGAAGGCTCATACTTTTGGGAAATATATATTGAAGCATTAAAAGAAAAAAGAACAAATCAAAAAGTTGTCTGAGAATTATTTTCAAATGGTTCAGAAAGATAAGATTGGGGGAGAGTGAATTAAAATCATTATTTTAAAAAAAGGGATGAATCACCAGGTGTGGTGGTGAATGCATTTAGACCCCAGCACTCCAGAAGCACGGGCAGGTGGATTTCTGTGAGTTCAAAGCCAGCCTGGTCTACAGAGCAAGTTTCAGGACAGTCATGATACACAGAGAAACCCTGTTTTGAAAAAACTAAAAATAAAATAAAGTTAGGTTGGGGTGATAGGCATGATGGTGCACTAAGAAAACTAAGGCAGGGGGATTATTTCAAGTTTGAGGGCAGCCAGAGTTATAGCATGAGACCCTGTCTTAACTCCTCCTAAACCAGGTTGTAGTTGTATATTACCACTTACATATTTACGTAAAAGTTAAGCTAAGCTAAGTCTTAGCTTAACTTTTACATAAATAGTAGAGTCTTGCCTGCCATGTACAAGACTGTAGGGTTTTTAAGTGTTATATAACATTATGGATCCATGCCTAGAAGGGAAGGGAAAGCCCAGAGTCCCATTCACTTCCTTCTTGGCTCTCACACCAGCAGCAGATGTATGTGAAGACCCTACAACCTAGTCTTGCTACACCATCAATTGAGAAGCCACTGGGACTATTCCCCTCATGCCTTTCTTCTCTGTCTCTGGAAATTACAGAAGCCCAGAATCATCCCCACTGGGCTCAAGACACACCCTTTCCTGTTCTCCTGTCGTGTCTTCCTCAGCTCCCCAAATTCTGCACTGGGCCCTCTGAAAACCAGTTACTGAAAAATTCTGTATTTTCAGACTTCTCTGAACACTTCCTCTCCTCTGCCCCCATGACTCTCTTCCAAGACTAAAAGCTTGGCCTTTGGTCTCTTGAGTGAAATGCTTTCTGCCCCACCTCCGTACCTCCAGAACCCCAACTTCTAAGTTCTGTGATTTCTTTCATTTGCCTCAGCTATTCCTAGCTGTGGGCCTATCCACTCAGGACTGAAAACCTGAGTTCAATCCCGGAGTTCCACACAGTGAAAGGAGAGAAGGTTCAACTCCTGCAAATCGTCCTCCGACCTCCACACAGCTTCTGTAGCATGTGTGCCTCAAGCTTCTGTTCAGACTACATGTATGATGATACAGACATGCACACAGGCAAAACACCAACACACATAAAAAAAGATGTAGCAGGAGTGAAAGTATAAGAAACTCTTTTCTGAAAACTGCTAGTTAAAGAGAAAGAATACAGGCTAAGCAAGCCAATTGAGCTCTCCATCATTAAAGTAGGTGAGAAGTTAAAAAAAAAATCCAATAGCCAGGTATGGCAGAACATTTAATTCTAGTTACTTGGAAAACTGAGGCAGGACAATTCCAAGTTTGAAACCAGCCTGTGAAATTTAGTGAAACCCTGTCTCAAAATAAAATAAGAAAAAAAAAAGTCTGGGGATAGATGAGTAGGCTGAGTAGTTGAACATAGCATGTGGGAGTTCAATCTTAGGTTCAGTCTCCAGAACTGCCACCTACACACACACACACACACACACACACACACACTCACACAGAGAGAGAGAGAGACAGAGACAGAGACAGAGACAGACACAGAGAGACACACAGAGAGAGAGACAGACACACAGAGAGACAGAGAGATAGAGAGAGAGACAGAGATCCACAATCAGTCCAACTAACAATGACCACTCAGTTTGATGAATTATCATCACAACTCTCACATTACGGAGGTGACACCAAGGACAGAACCTGTGTACCCTACAGAAAGTTATTTTCAGGCTTTTTTTTGGGGGGGTGGGATTATTTGAGGCAGGTTACCAGTAACCCAGGCTGGCCTCTATTGTTCTCTACACCTCACCAGCATTACAGGTGTGATCCCATGTCACTTCTCTCTCCATTTTCTTACCTATAAAACGGAAATAACAATCTCCACCACCAGGGCTGTTGAGAGAACAGCTAATTTATTGGCTCACTGTGTACCAGCATTGTCCTCCTCTCTTGTCCCACGGCACCTCAACTCAGCCTCTCTCTGTCAAACCTGTCTACACATATCATCACGTTCTCCCAAAGAACATTAGTGCAAAGAGGCACAGGAGAGCCCCAGGCATTCTGGTGCCTACCTCACCCAGTGCACTGTCCTTCTCCTGGCACATTGCCAGCAGATAGATGGAGGCTTTGCAGACCACTGGTGGAGGGCACTCGCCCTGGTCCTGCAGAGACAATAGGAAGCTCTGCACAGCCACAAATAATTCTGCCTCAGGGACAAACCTGTTGACCAAGAAGAGCTTGAGTGAGAAAGGCAGAGATGCCAGGCCAGTGGAGCCTTCTACCCTGCTGGCGCCCTCCTCCCTCAATTCAGGGTCCTTCCCCAGAATGCTCACAGCCTGATAATACCATGCACAAACAATGTGTTGTATATCCTTTCAAAACACTGTCACACATGTACAACACAAATGCACTCAAACGCGTGTGCATAGATGAACATGTATACATACACACATTCATTCCACGGAACTGGGCTACAGATAAAAGCCCCAGGTCTCACCACCAGCCACCGTCTCAGAGAATTGACCTGTCATCGTGGATGTGAGCCAGGTAGAAGAGGATCAGGATGCAGTACTGTCTCTGGCGGGCAGCTGCCTCCACATACTGGCGATCTGACAGGAAGGCAAGACTCTCCCGGGTCCTGCTGCTTATCTGGGGCAGTCCGTGCTGCAGGAACTCAGACACTGCAGAGAGTTCTGGGAGGGAGCAGGTAGGCGAAGGCCACAAAGAGAACACAGGAGAGCAGGTGAGAACCATTGCACCTAGATGCTACACAGGGCACCAAAGGGTAGTACCAAGGGAACTAGAGGTTCCTTTTCCTTTATGCAGCTCTCTGTCAGAAGAGACTAAACTTAACATATGGAAGGACACAGGCAGTATTCATTCATTCATTCATTCATTCCTCTGATACATGTTCACTGAGTGGCTACTCTAGATCAGACTGTGAAACCTCCTGGAGTCCCTGAAGGAAGAGATCGATTAAGACAGACAATTGCAGGACAAGTGGTCAGTGCCATGATTCAGTGTGGAAAGAGTAAATCAGGTCACCTATGGTGGAGAGGACAACCTTAAAGGGCAGAGAACTATAGAGGATAAGCAGAAAACAGTCAGGGAATGGAGAGAAAAAAGCCCATGGGACAGGAAGCAAGGAGTTTGGAGACCCAGAGCCATGGGGGACACATTTCTGTTCAGTATGAAGAGGTGTGGGGCGTCAGGGACTATAGGGCCGGGTGGATAATTCACAGCTTGACTACTAAAGATGACATATGCTGCTTAAAGAACTTGAATATTAGCAGAGCGAATCAGTACTTTAGCAGGGTGTGACGGCACATGCAGTTCCTGCCATACACTGGCAAAGCATCAGGATGGCACTTAGGAGGCTGAAGTAGCAGGGTAGACAGTTCAAGGGCAGCCTGGGCTACACAGTGACAGCCTGTCTCAAAAAAAAAAAAAAAAAAAAAAAAACAAGAAAGAAAAAAATCAAAACAAAAGAGCAGAAGTTATTTGTATTTTCTACTGGGAGCAGAGATCCCAGTAGATCTCTGGGTTTCTCATGGAACCTATTTTACGAAGAAGGATAGTGGAGGAGTAGAAAAACAGAAGGGACCTCAGAGCTTGTCAACTTTTTGGGAAAGTTACCAAATTGCCCTTATTTTCCACACGTCAGCAAAGGCCAGTGAACCCTCACCGACACTGCTAGGGCTACAGCTGAAGAGCAGAGGAAGCAAGATGCTAAAACTTCCCAGGTAGCTACTTCAACAGAGAGTGCCGATAGGATGGAGAATGAGCAACTGGAAGCGGGGACTCAGCTGAAAGACCAGCTGGGAGAACCCATACTGCTAAGACCAAGTCCTAAACATGTAGAGAGAATCCCAAAACAATGTGGCAGCACAGCCAATTGGGTATTCTAATCCCAATTCAATTCCCTTCCCACCAACATGCTCCATAATGAATCGATAACGAGATGAGTATCTTTGAGTCTCATACATCCACCTGCCCTCTCCTTTGATCCTATAGGAAAAGGAAGTAGAGCTGAGAAAAAGGAGACAGAAACAGCTCTGCTGGCATTTTGAGGTCTGACAAGCACTCGATACCCAAGGGAAAGCATGAGAGGGCTTCCTTTTGTTCTGACAACTGAGGGAATGTAAGAGGTCAGCCTTGGGTCATCACAGCAGAGGCACTATGGTCTTCTCTCTGCAATACCCGAGCAATAGACTGCTGGGAAACATGCAGCCAAGACTAGGCAGTGTAATGAACAAATCAGGACCCAGGTCATGATGTTAGTAATGAAATGCTTGCCTGGACTCCTGTCTGTCTCAGCATGGTATCTGAGTAAGGAAAAGGATGGGGAGATAGGGGAGTAGGGGATGACACAGATTCTTCATCATGATAAAAGGAAGAAATACACTCAACATCAACTCTAACCCACAAAGACAGGATAATATGAGCAAGCACTAAAACATTGACTGTCCTATGTTAAACCAAATGAGAAGTCTAGAATAGGGGGATTTCACAGGAAATAATACTATAATCATTGTTTTATTAACCTGTGCCTCACTAGGGGGGATTAAGATTCAACAAAAGAGAAGACTTTTTTGTTTTCTTTTTCTAGACAGAATTTCTCTGTAGCTTTGGAGGCTGTCCTGGAACTCACTGTGTAGACCAGGCTGGCCTTGAATTCATAGAGATCCGCCTGCCTCAGCCACCCAAATGCTGAGATTAAAGGCGTGTGCCACCACCGCCCAGCAAAAAGACTTCTATCATGAGGCATATGCCCACTTTTCTTCCTTTGGTCCCCTATCTTACATAGCTTCTTCTCTTCTGTTTCCTCCATCCCCTTGCCCACTTTTGTTTCTTTCAATAGTGTGATGATATTTTGTTTATGACCTAATAAATTTTGCCCGGAGATCAGAAGGCAAAGCTAGCCACAGTCATAGAGAGCAGGCAGTGTTGGCATACACCTTTAATCCCAGCAGCCACACTAGTTAGTCATAGAAGCTGGGCGGTGGTGGTGCACACCTTTAATCCCAGCACTAGAGAGGAATGTAAAACAGGAGCTCAGGGTCTCAGTCTGTATTCACTCTGCAGTCTCAGGGGGTCTGAGGATTCGTGGAGACAGGATTGCCCTTTCAGTCCGAGGTAGAGGTAAGAGCTAGTGGCTGGCTGTTCTGCTTTCCTGATCTTCAGCTTGAACCCCAATATCTGTCACTAGATTTTTGTTACTCATGCTACACAATAGTGCTATCCATCACTGGCATTGCATCTATTATTTAATGCCTGCCTTTCTCACTGGAAGAGAGAAGGGCTTTTTCTCCCCAGTTCTTTCACCAGTACCTGGAATACAGTCTGGCATGCAATGTATGTACAAGAGCTACTTCATGAATGAATGAACAAAGAAAAAGAACAGACTATGCGAGAGACAGTGAGTGCTGTAGTAGACCAGCAGAGAGTTGGTGTGGGATGGTGCAAAAGAGATAGTTGAGAGAGAGGATTTAGACCTGATGAGCTTTAGGGACCTTCTCAACTTTCTAGAGTCCGGCATCCCAGGAACCTTAGATTGCATCAGTTTCTCTGCCTTTAATCTTCCTCCTTAGAAATCATTCTAGAATTGCATCACTAGCTTCCAGCAAAGTGGTCTCATGGCATTGACTCATTAGACAGCCAGTCAGCAAGACTTCCAGACTTGAGAACTGTCATGGGACTCAGGAGTGGTGAGATCACTTCATCTTACCTTCTTGGGAGGGCGGTTCTGTCTTCTCTGGAGCTGAGAGAAGATTGAGGCACATGTAGTAGAGGAAACTGGAACACACCTGATTTAGGGATGAATGACTTAAAGGGAGAAGTGAGAAAAAAAAGAAAAGACAGCATTACTACTTTGACTCCAACACCATTAACACAACATCATTGTCTTATACCAGAGCCCAGTGAAAATCTAATCATGGCTGCGGCAGAGGAGACCCTCAAGTGGCTGTGAAAAGTAAGTAGTTAGGGAGGAAAACTGGAGAGATGGCTCAGTGGTTAAGGGCATTTGCTGATCTCGCAAAGGACCGGGGTTCAGTTCCCAGCACCCATAATGGACAGCATACAACCACTTCTGGGGTTCCAATGCCCTCTTTTGCCTCCATGGGCACAGCACACATACAGACAAGTAGGTACACACATACACATAAAATAAAAATAAAAATATTTAAAAGTAAATATGGGAGTATTGGAGAAATGGCTCAGGGGTTAAGATCACTGGCTGCTCTTCCAGAGGTCCCGAGTTCAATTCCCAGCAACCACGTGGTGGCTCACAACAATAATAGGACTGGTACCCTCTTATGGTGTACAGGTACACATACAGAGCACTCCAAAATAAAAAATTAAAGAAAAAGATTTTTTAAAGTAAATATGGAAACCGTTGCCACATTTGCAATAGGCACCCAGCTCACATGGATCACTGAAATCTTCCTCAAACATTATATTAAGAAAGGCTACCCAAACATACAACAGAAAAAGAAAGGGCTAAGGAGTTGTACAGATGTAAGGAGGTGTCCGACATGGCAGTACATATCTGTAATTCCAGCACTTGGAAGGCTGAGGCAGGAACAAAATCCAGTCTGGGGTAGAAAAAAAAAACCCAATAAAAAAAAAAAAAAAAAAAAAAAAAAAAAAAAGGAGGAGGAGAAGAAGAAAAAGAAAGAAAGAAGGAGGAAGAAAGAAAGAAAAAGGAAGAAAGAAGATGAAGAAGAAGAAGGTGGAAAAAGAAGAGGAAGAAGAGGGAGACGATGACATTGAATTGCAGTTTTGACTTTGAACCCAGACTGATCCCTGAATACTCTCTTGAATGTGAGTGTCCTATTCAAAGCTATGGAAGGAGAGTCACATGTGACACTGTGGTCACTTTGTAAGCTCTGGACAGTGGCAAATCCCAGACAGGAAGGTACGGAAGGATGCTCTAGAAAACCAGCAAGATACTAAAACAGTGACATCCACTATGAACAAAAATTGATCCTCTGAAATTGCTGGGTGGGCAACAACTACAAGTTGACAAACATTGTATCCTTTCACCTCTGAGGGCCTCGGTTTCTCCACTTAACTGAGATTACACAAATGATCTCCAAGAGCCTGTGATGTTTAGCTTTCACTGTTAATGAGACAACCTAGACTCTCCTAGGAAGAGTGTCAGTGAGAGGCTGGCTGTCTATATCAGGTTAGCTATTGGGCATATCTTTGAAGGTTGTGTTAATTATGCTAACTGATGCAGGAAGATTGAGCCCAGTGTGGGTGACATCATTCCTAAGCAGGGGGTCCTGAACTATATAAGAATAAAGAAAGAGGGATGGAGAGATGGCTCAGGGTTAAGAGCACTGACTGCTCTTCCAAAGGTCCTGAGTTCAATTCCCAGCAACCACATGGTCTGTAATGAGATCTGGTGCCCTCTTCTGGTGAGTAGACATACATGCAGACAGAACACTGTATACATAATAAATAAATCATAAAAAAAGCAAGAATAAAGAAAGTAAACAGCATAAGCAACCAAGCAGGTACGCATTCATTTCTCTTCTCTTGATATGACCTGTAGGAGGAACACCTACAGAGCTGCAGCTGGCTTGATTCCAGTATTCGGGCACCTAGCCTTAATCTGTCCTTTGTCTCCAGTACTTTCTGTTTGAAATATGAAAGTTGTGTCTGAGAATTTCCCAAAGGTGCAAAGCCTATGCAAAACTTCATTGGGGAAAATCCAGCAAACCATGATATTCCTTGATTTGCATTTGCATTTGGCATTGTCCCTTTGAGAGACTTAGATGTTTTGGGATATGGAAATGAACTTGTTAAAGGTATATATTGGATAACAATAAAAAAAAAAAAGCCCTGCGCTAAGCTGGGCGGTGGTAGTGCATGCTTTTAATCCTAGTGGAAATGAACTTGTTAAAGGTATATATTGGATAACAATAAAAAAAAAAAAAAAAGCCCTGCGCTAAGCTGGGCGGTGGTGGTGCATGCTTTTAATCCTAGTGCTCGGGAGGCAGAGGCATGAGGATTTCTGTGAGTTCAAGGCCAGCCTGGTCTACAAAGCTACACAGAGAAACCCTGTCTCAAAGCCCTGGGTTAAGGGAGAGTGTCGGAGCTGGAAAGGCTAAATATATCGTAAAGGTACCTTGAATCCACACTGTTCTAAAACAGTGACTAGCTATTTGAAGGGCCTGCCTTTAACTTCCCTATTCTGAGCTGAAACAAGCCCTTTTCTTCCTTATGTTGTTTTGTCAGGGTGTTTTATCACAGCTACAGAAATGAAACTAGGACCGAGTCCTCCCAGTTTTGATGTGACATCACCTTTCCATAGCAGATGACACTCAACTTACAGAAGCACCTCCAGCTCATGTGTCAGTTGCTGGGCAACAGTGACACTGTTTCCAATACACCAGGGTCCCATGACTCAAACACCAACCAGACACTTCCACTTGTCTGGTCAAGAATTTTTCTGGCCCCTTGCTGTTCAGTTCTTCCGGGGAGCACACATACCTCTGGCAACTGCAGAACTTGGCCTTTAGCTCCAGGGTCAGTCGTATGAATGATGAGTCAGCTTAGGAGGAGTGAGAAGAAAGCAGAGCTGTGTCACAGAAACTTCCAGGTGTTGGTGTGGGAGTACTGGTTTTGTAGTCATGGGACCTGGCTTACCAGAATGGAGTAGGAGTTAACTCCTGAGACTGCTTTGACTATCTGAACCTCATAGGCCGGGAATAAGTACATCTTTTTGTTTGTTTTTTGAGACAGGTTCTCACTATGTAACCCTGGGCTGTCCTGGTACTCGATCTGTCAACCAGGCTGGCCTCAAACTCATAGAGACCCACCTGCCTCTGCCTCCTGAGCGTGCACCACCATCACCTGGTGGGCATAAGTATACCTAACAAATGCTTGCCCCAGGGAAAGAGCCAGATGACCTTCACCTCCTTCCTCTCTCAATTATGCTCTACTATAACCTGGTACTTTCTACAGACACCAGGACATTGCTGCTTCTACCTGTTGTGCCAGGTTCGTGGAGCCCCAGAGACTAACCCAAGGAGTCGGCACTCTGATGCAAAAGCAAAAGGTTTCTTTTTATTGTTCAAGCTGGCCAGCTTGGCTCTCACTGCATGGGGGGGGGGGAATCCCAACCAGTCAAAAAGAGAAGCTTTTAAAGGGGCAGACCATAAGGTTGTAGGCCACACATTTTAGAGTTTCCATGGTTACTTCAGGTCATACAAAGTACAGAATAAAGCAGTAGCTGTATATTTTAAGTGAGATACATTTGAGTGAGATAAGACAGGGCATGGGCTTGCACAGTTACATGGTCACAGGGTCTATCAGTGATCCCCTGGGCTGGGGAATCTTTATGACCAGCAATTAGCAAAGGAATGTTAACAGGAGTGGTGGACAGTCACCTCCCCTTCTCTGAGAGCAGGGGCTCAGGCGCCAGTCATGGGCACTCCTGATTTAAGGAGTTAAATTTTCCTTTACCATTAGAAATTCCCTTTTCAGGGCCCAAGTTTTTAAACATTTATTAATTTTAATTGTTGGTTCCTCATACCCTTTGTCTTATCTTTGTAGAAAACAATCTAGCTCCAGACTCTGAAAGAACAGTGGCAGTCATTGCTTTATCCCTGTCTCTAAACTGCCTATGTGAAGACGAGATCTCAGGCCACAGACCTGACAACAGCTTCTGTCTTAGGTAGTGACCCTGGTCCAGGCCATTTCACTGCAAGGTTTCTCCCAGTCTCCTCCTTAAGACTGGGCTTTCACTCCCAGTACCCACATCCCAGTGGTTCACAATTGCCTGTTGCTCCAGCTCCAGGGAGTCCATTGTCAAGGCCCATAGAAGTGGCTCCATACCATCGGAACATAAGGCCAGAGAGTTTGAGTCTGTTATTGCTCCCTCAAGGTTAAACAACAATATGTTTGGCCTAAGGTGTGGCCATTGTTTGTCCTACCTAGACAACAGGATATTTGACCCAAGGTGTAGCTAATGGATGTCTTACCTTGACAACAGGATATTTGGTTTAGGGTATGGTTATTTGATGTTTTGGGTATTGAGAAGGTAATTATGCTTGCTTGTTCTTTGTCTCTTGGTAAGGAAGTCTTTTGCGCACCCCCCCCCAAGACTGGGGTATATAAGAGCTTTAGTAATAAACTTGGGGCTGATCCCAGTATTACCTTGGTGTCTTCCCACCTCTAGCTCTTGCCTAATTATTTCCCAAATACACACTCCTCCTTCTAAGCATGAATCAGATAAGTCTGCTGGACCAGACAGTCCTTGCCCTCTTCTGGCCTCTACCTGCAATTATGAGCACATACCCTATACACATACCACCTCCCCCCACACACACCTCAGAAATAATCTTTAAAGGAGAAAGAAAGCTCTAAATACACATTCACCAGGTTTGAAAGCAAACATTCCACTTACAGTGTAACCTTGGGAAAGTTGCTTCATCTCCCTGATAAGTCAGTTTATTCATCACTTCAATGAGGATTATGTATAATTCCTATGAGTTTTCAATCAATCAATATATGCAAAGCATATCAAACACTGTCTCACACAGTAAGAACTTTAAAAAAAAAAAAACAGAAGCCAGGTGGCCAGTAACATGGCTCAGGGAGTAAAGGCACTTGCTACCAAGACTGACCACCTGAGTTGCATCCTCAGGACCCACACAGGAAAGTGGAGAGATAATTTATGCAAGTTGTCCTTTGATGCACACACACACACACACACACACACACACACACACACTATATATATATGACAGATGGATGAATGGATAATAAAAATGGGAAGAAATCTCAGGGAACCCTAAACAGTAGCTTGTACACAGAGTTCAACTGCTCCCTTGGAAAGCACTTGGAAATATATTAAGACCTTTTTCAGTTTTCACAATGACTAATTCCCGGGCATCCAGTATCCAGAAATCAGAGATCCTGGGGCTGGAGAGATGACTCAGCAGTAAAGAGCATATCTGTTCTTGTAGAGTTCCCAACACCATGTCAGGTGACACATAACTGCTTGTAACTCCAGCTCCTGGGATCCAACATCTTCTGGCCTCTGCAAGCACCTGCACTCACACTCACATAACTCCACCCACCCATACCCACACACCCACACACAGCCACACAATTAATTTATTAAATTTTTGACAAACAATGGTGACACACGCCTTTAATCCCAGCACTCAGGGAGGCAGAGGCAGGTGGATCACTGAGTTTGAGGCTAGCCTGCTCAACAGAGTGAGTTCCAGGACAGCCAAGGCTACACAGAGAAACTCTATCTTGAAAAACAAAAATAAATAAAATAATTAAATTTAATTAAACATTTTTTAATAATTTTTTATTACATGTAACTTAAAAATAAATCTTGAGCAAAAAGAAAAGAAACCAAAGACCCTAAACATCATTTGTAGTCTCAGGGGATGTGGTGTATGAAAGGAATGGGGGAGCCAGGAGTACTGACACATACATTTCATCACAGCACTTGAGGCACAGAGGCACGTGGATCTCTGTGAGTTCAAGGCCAGCCTGGTCTACACAGTGATTAATTCTAGGACAGCCAGAGCTATATAGGAGATCTTGTCTCAAGAAGAAGGAGGAGGAGGAGGAGGAGGAGGAGGAGGAGGAGGAGGAGGAGGAAGAAGAAGAAGAGGAAGAAGAAGAAGAAGAAGAAGAAGAAGAAGAAGAAGAAGAAGAAGAAGAAGAAGAAGAAGAAAGAGTGGGGAAGGGACTATGCTGAGAACACTTAACAGAACCTGCTGGACTTGTAGAAAACACTGAAAATATCAATAAACTAGAAAACTGACTTCAATAGCTTTGACTGCCCCTTGGTTTTCCTACAGAGAAATGGATACACAGTTTAAAAGACATGCAGATGTCCATCCACCCTCTAGCTAATGCTTTCAACAGTTGCTGACAATGCTTGCCTCCCTCCAGACACCCTTAATGATCTGCCACCTACCAAGCTTCCTGGAGAATTTCACCTTCATGTGGGGAACGATGACAAAGAGGCTGTGCAGAATTGAGAGGAAAACTTCCATCAATCTTGGATGCGTGGCTTCCTCCGAGTACCTCTAAAAGTACCAGAAGTGAGAATGCAACATAGCACCAAGCCTGAGTCTCCGAAGAAGAAAAGACATCTTAAGAAACTGGCATCCAATCTACCAAGTTCGGATAACCTCTTTCATTTCACCAACACAAGGAAAACCTAGGGACTCTGAACTCACAAACCTACACCTAAGGATTGACTCTGCCAGTAGATGGTAGCAGGGACTTCACCTCACTGGCCTCTGTGCTACTCCCCTCCCCCAAATAAGAAGAAAAACACCTATGTCCTGGGAACAGATGAGGTATAACGTACAAAAGGCACTTTCTAGGCCATAGTGCAGGGTGACTCACTTCTCTCACTACACTTACAATTCTAATAGTCATATAGAATTCAACTGCTTTCACTTTCCCCCCAAGACAAGGTTTCTCTGTGTAGCCCTGGCTGTCCTAGAACTCACTCTGTAGACCAGGCTGGCGTTGAACTCAGATCCACCCATCTCTGCCTCCCGAATGCTGGAATACTAAAGGCGTGCGCCACCACTGCCCAAATCCCCCTTCACTTTTTATTCATGTGATCCTTGGACAGTCATGAGACAGACTGATATAGTACCTCAGGATTAAGGTTAAAGGAATTTATTTGTCTTCTACCAAGCTCAATTTAGGGCCATCTCTGTACACCCTTGGATGGTCCCTTTCTCCCCTCTCTGAGTCTCAGTTCCCACACGTGAACAGCCAGGACCAACTCACTCTGTAGACCAGGCTGGCCTCAAACTCACAGAGATCCACCTGCCTCTGCCTTCCGAGTGCTGGGATTAAAGGCGTGTACTACCAACGCCCGGCAAAACAGTTAAATGCATATATATTATTATAAAAGTAGTAGCTGGGGGTAGTAGTACACATCTTTAATCCCAACACTTAGGGAGTAAAGACAAGTAGATCTCGATGAGGTAGAGGCCAGCCTGGTCTACATAGCAAGTTCCAGACCAGCCAGAACTACACAGGGAAACTGTCTCAAAAAAACACAAAATCAAAAAAAAAAAAAAATAGTATACACTTATTAAAGAAAAATCTACAAAATGTAGTGATATCTTGTTTATACTCTAACAAATAAAGTTTACCTGAAGATGAGAGGAAAGTATAAAGCAGGAATAATAAAATAATTCTATAATCTATCCTGACTAACAAGGGACTCTTGACAGGCTCATAGGATGCTCAGACCCTCAGAAGGAGAGGATGCTGGGTGACCCGAGCCAACTGCTCCGCCCCTGGCTTTCCCATCATCTTAATCCCAGGTCAACCATAAACACAGCTCTTCAGGACTAGGTCTCATTTCAGACTGGTGTCTCTGATCTGTGGAACACACTTGTCCTTACTGAAGCTAGGATTATGGACATTCACTGTTGCTAACTACTGGGGCAGGGGACAAGAAAAGCTATGATTATGAAATTACATGCTCTTTCTCAGCACCATAATGTACTTGTTTGTTTTGTTTTGGAGACAGGGTCTCTCTACATAGCTCTGGCTGTCCTGAAATTCACTATGTAGACTGGGCTGGCCTCAAAAATCACAGAAATCCAGGGCTGGAGAGATGGCTCAGAGGTTAAGAGCCCTGGCTGCTTGTTCAGAGGACACAGGTTCAATTCCCAGCACCCACATGGTGGCTCACAACCATCTATAATAATGAGACCTGGTGCCCTCTTCTGGCATGCAGGCAGAACACTGTATAAATACATAATAAATAAACCTTAAAAATTATTTAGAAAAATCACAGAGATCCTCCTGCCTCTGCCTCCTGCGTGCTGGGATTTAAGGCATGCGCCACCATGCCTGGCATGTATGTGCTTTTTAACAGTAGAAGAACACCATTTAAAAATTAAGGAATATAGTTTAGTAACAGACACTTGTTAGCATGTGTAAGGTTTGGGGCAGGGAGAGATACTAGCGAAAATTCTAATACCCTTCTGCCATGGTCAGAGATAAAATTACATAGTGTCTGTAAGACAGGTACCATATTATAAACATTACCTGTATATTATTTTGTTACTGATTTCAACTTTTTCTTTGGATGAACGTATTAGTTTTATAATGAAACATACTTTCTTATTACAGCAAAAGTAAAGGTGGCTGCAGGAATGACATTGCTAAGGGCATAAGGACTAGCTGAGTATTCCCCAGGGTCCATGCTGCCTGTGGGGAAGAGCCTACCATCATCATAGGGATGCACTGGGCATCACAGGCACTGAGAAGAAATTCTGAGAAGGCCTCCAAGGTGTCTTCCTTCTCTGCACCGGGAGCTGTGAAGGGATTCTCCTGGGCAGAAGGCTCACCTTGGAATTCCACAGCCAGCCTGAGAAATCAGTACATATGCTTATTAACACCCTCGTACTATAAGAGAGGATGCGCCCTCTTAAGACTGAGCTCAGAATTCAGGGAAAGTATTCTCACCCTCAGATGGGGGCAATTTTAAGAGTCTTCAATGAGGAGAAGTTCAGGGTCTAAATAGCCCCCCTAAATCTCTGCTGCCCCCTCACATACGGCTCTTCCATAACCTATGTGTACCCCTGAGCATCTCATGAGGTCCCCTGCACATCTCTGCCTTTCCTGATGCTCCTCTCCCTACCTAAAATGCCTTCCTTGGATTCTATACAACTTAGATAATTCACATATATACTCAAAAGTGTCCCTTCCCTCAGAGACTGTCAGCTCCCTGTGGGCAGGAGTCATTCTGACTTCTCTTTCTATCCCCAGGTCTGGCACACAGATGTTGACAAAGATCTGTTTATATGAAGTGTGTTCAGAGAAGAGTGACAGCATTAGGCTAGTTTCAGGGAGGAACAAAAGTGAATAAGGCATAGCTTCATGGGGGCTGGAGAGATGCCTCAAGTGGTTAAGAGCACCGGCAGCTCTTCCAGAGGACTGAGTTCAATTCCCAGTACCCACATGGTGACTGACAATCTTCTGTAACTCGAGGGAATCTACTTCTCTGTCTCTCCTTTGGTTTTTCTAGACAGGGTTTCTCTGTGTAGCCCTGGCTGTCCTGGAACTCACTCTGTAGACCAGGATGGCCTTAAACTCAAAAGATTCACCTGTCTCTACCTCCAGGGTGCTGGAATTAAAGGTGCACACCACCACCACCTGGCTTGATTCCTCTCTTAGCTTCCATGGGCAATTCAAGTACATGGCACACATACATACATTCATGGAAAACACCCACACACATAAAATAAAAATAAATAAGGCTTAAAATATATTTTTAAAATAAACTCATGGTACAGTAGCAAAAGTATCATCAGGATGCTTGGGGGGACCTAGAACTGTCCTACCCCTAGCTACCCATTCTCAAACTTCCTCCCCATATATACCCCAACCTCAGTCAAAGTCCTTTCACAATTCCAGAGAGCAACAGAGGCCAAGTGCTGCTTTGTACTTTGTCTAAGCCCTGCCAGCCTCAGGCTGCAGAGGGCCCCTTACCTGCAGGCATTCCTAAACCCCTCCAGAGTGCTCAGGAGGAACTTCCCCTTTCGAAGAGTGGCCTTCTCTGAGTTTCTACTGCAAGCATGGCCCTGGGGTGAAGAGGGGAGAGGAGCTTATGAGTCACATGCCCACTCCATGGGCCAGTTTAGGCTTGGATGTCACAGACTTCCTCCACACCCGCTGCAGTCTGCCCTTTGCATATACCTACCTAACTTTCCAAGGGATTTTGGGTATAGCTTCACAAATCTGAGTAGCTTGTTTAAAAATAGCAGAGGGGATAACTTCAACCCCATGTGCCTAAGCACCTCAAGAATAGCTCTTGGTCTGTTATAGACAGAAAGCTGTCACATCTGATAAACAATAGCCCAAATAGCTGTAATGTCCATATTGTTGCTCCATAACACAAGAAAATCCTCACCCAACTCATGGACCCCAGACTGATAGCTGGGAAACCAGCATAGGACTGACCTAGACCCTCCTGAACGTGGGTGTCAGTTAGGAGGCCTGGGCAATCTATGGGGCCTCTGGTAGTGGATCAGTATTTATCCCTAGTACACAAATGGACTTTGGGCACCCATTCCACATAGAGGGGTACTCTCTCAGCCTAGACACATGGGGGAGAACCTAGGCCCTGCTCCAAATGATATGACAGACTCTAAAGATCCCCCACCCTCCCTGGGGCCTCACCCTCCCTGGGGAGCAGAAAAGGGATAGGATGGGGGGTTCGTGGGAGGCTGGGGAAGAGAGGAGGGAGAGGGAGCTGGGATTGACACGTAAAACAAGCTTGTTTCTAATTTAAATTTTTAAAAAAGGGGGAAAAATAGCTGGGTGGTGATGGCCCACGCCTTTAATCCCAACATTCGGGAGGTAGAGGCAAGTAGATCTTTATGAGTTCCAGACCAGCCTGGTTTACAAGAGCTAGTTCCAGGACAGCCTTCAAAGCCACAGAGAAACCCTGTCTCCTCAAACAAAACAAAACAAAACAAAACAAAACAAAGAAAAAAGAAAATCCTCACCCCAGCAGGTCTGAGAACTATAATCCTGAAAAACATAACACTCATACTGAGAGTATCTTTCCTGATATCATAAATCTATGAACCATTAAAAGCCAATGATTATAACCCAGTGAACATCAGTTAGATTCTTAGTTAGCATCCGATCTTAAATAAGTTGTGAGAATGTTTACCATACCTACAACATAGGGCTAATAATGTGGCTTAGTGTGGAGTACTTGCCTTTTACTCATGAACCCCTGGGCTTGATTCCCAGCAGCACAAAAATAAACAATCAAAAACATAACAAGAAAAGACTAATTAATTACATGTGGATAGTAGTTACATTATTTTGAGACATTATGCAGCTGAGGCTAGCTTCAAACTCTTCGGTCCTTCTGCCTCAGCCTCTTGAACATCAGGATTATAGGTGTAAGCCTTGCTTGCTAAGGTACTTTGAAATTTTGGCCTTAAAGAAAAGTGTTTAACCCCTGGGGCTTCAGTTTCTTCATCAATCAAAATGGTCAAGACAGTGACCCTTAAACCTATAAATTGTCCCAGGAGATGAGGTGATGTACAAATTGCTTCTCTAA